TCAATCACGGATCAAATACTCAAACATCTCGACGAACAACTACCCAATGCGGATTTCGTCTGTATCGAAGATTACAACAAAGGCGTCTGCACTCCCGCACTGTGCAAAGAGATTATCCGCAGAGCTGAAATCGCTGGAAAGCCGGTTTATGTCGACCCCGCGCCAATCAAGGACTACTCCAAGTATCAAGGTGCAACCGCGATCACTCCCAACCGAACTGAGGGCGAACTCGCGAGCACGCTGGGACCGGATGCTACCAATGAACATCTCGCGCGTGACCTCAAGGATCAGTATCAGTTCACCACCGTCGTGCTCACGCTCGATAAGCACGGGGCGCTCGTAGACAGCGATGATCTCTCTGAACAGGAGTTAATCCCAACACAGGCGCGAGCTGTGTACGATGTGACCGGCGCTGGAGACATGATGCTCGCGGGACTCGCTGCTGCTCGCGCTAACGGATTAGACTGGATCGATTCGGTCCGCCTCGCCAATGCCGCAGCGGGGCTTGAAGTCGAGATCTTTGGTGTCGCGCCGATCCCTATCGAACGCATTCACCACGAGATCCTCTCCCTCAGCGCCGACTCCAGAGGCAAGGTCCGCACGCTCGACGAAGCGATCGTCATGACCAAAGCCGCGAAGAACGAGGGCAAATCCGTCGTCTTCACCAACGGCTGCTTCGATGTCATCCACGCCGGACATATCTCGCTCCTCCAGCGTTCCGCTGCTCTCGGAGATGTCCTCATCGTCGCGATGAACGACGATCATTCCGTGCGCGGACTCAAAGGCCCAACTCGACCGGTCAACGATCAGGAGAATCGAGCGAGGGTGCTTGTCGCCCTCGAATGTGTGGACGCCGTGGTGCTGTTCAGTGAGGAGACCCCGATCCAGCTCATCGAGGGGATCAAACCCGATGTGCTGGTCAAAGGCGGCGACTACAGCATCGAAACCGTTGTCGGTGCAGACTTTGTAATCCAGCACGGCGGACGAGTTGAACTCCTCGACCTGATTGACGGGCTCTCAACCACCTCCACCATCGAGCGGATGAAGGACTCCTGAAACCGCGTCCACTCGCTCATATCCGTGATTCGCAACTTTCCCTGAGTTTGTGAGCAAAGAACCATCGCGAATCGTCCGATATATGGTGTATGTCCAAGACCCACCTGATGATCGTGCACCCTCGCTACATCGCTCCGCTGCTGAGCGGTGCGAAGACCCTCGAATCTCGTCTTGGACAGGATCGCAGAGCCCCATTCGGAAAGGTGAGCCCGGGAGATATCGTCTACATCAAACCAACGGGCAAACGAGTTGTCGCCAAAGCAGTCGTTCGTCGAGTAGACGAGTTCGAAGACCTTACTCCTGAAGATGTAAAGAATCTCCGCGAAACTTACGACGATCGGATTATGGGCGGCGATCAGTATTGGCAATCCAAAGCCGATTCCAAGTACGCAACGCTCATCGGATTCAAATCAATCACTCTGCTGCGTGATGAAGCAACTGTACCTGCTGAGTTGCTCGTTGCCAATCGCAACGCATGGCGCATCGCTGACGAGAGTTCCTCCGATCATCAGCAAGCCGCTTAAGCAACTTCATTCAACACAACAACTATTTTCTTGAGTTCTCAACGCGATGTCTGTATCATGAAACTCCGCATCATACAGAGGAGTTCCATGATGAAAACCAGATTAATCTCAAGCACTCTTGTGTTGGGTACACTTGCGTTTGCAGCCTCAACCTCGATCGCCAATGTATACAGCTACGACGACGGCGTATCCAACATCACGCTTGGCCCGCCGAGGTCGTTCGAGCAGTTCGGTGACATCGACGTGCTCTGGGGGAACTATTTCCATACTGAAGCTGCGACTGAAGAGATCACCACCATCTCCTTCGAGCTTGGAAGCCTGTCTCCCAACAACCAGGTCACACTCTGGATCTATGACGACGCAGACAACGACAACGATCCTACCAATGCGACATCGCTCTTCTCCATGACCATTGACAATCCACTCACAGGACTCGGACAAGAGAACATCGTCAATATCGCGAACCTCGCAGTATCTGGAGGATTCTTCGTTGCCGTGAGTCACCTCTCAGAACTCGAGTACGACGACAACGACAATCCAGACTACTCAAGCCCCGCTCGTTACGACCCTGATGCTCGCGCCGATCGCTCGTGGTTCTACTACGGCAGCTTCGGCGATCTCCCAAATGCAGGCTACGGCACTCGCATGGATGGTCCCGATGTCCCAATCCCTGGAGCGTTCGCGATCCGTGCGACCACAGTCCCCGCTCCGAGCATGTTGCTGCTCTCCTCTGCCGGATTGCTGCTTGGTGCTCGTCGCAGTCGTTGAGACCATCAACATTTCAAAAGCACCATACACCCACTGATCTGAGTTGGGTGTTTTCTTTTGGTCAGTACAAAACCTAATCGAGATAGAAAGTCGAGAGGCAACGCACGACCCTCGAAAGCGGGAGTCCGACGATCGAGTCCTCATCTCCTGTGAACTCGATGGGCCAGCCCGCTTCCAGACGCTCGGAGATGTTGTATGCGCCCGCTTTGCCCTCCCAAAGCATGGAGTCCAGATATGCTTCGATCTCATCCTCAGGGATCGATCCAACAGTGACCACTGAGCGATCTACAAAGAGTTGCCTACGGCTGCCTTTGGGTTCCAAAATCGCGACACCGGTCAAGACCTCATGCGTCGCATCACTCATCAAGTTGATGATCTCCCTCGCATGATCCCGATCTTTGGGCTGCCCGATGATCTGTCCATCCTTCACGCACACGGTATCAGCCCCTAAAACCACAATCGGCGCGTTGGATTGGTCATCCATCAGCAACTCCGAACTGGATATCGCTTTGAGATACGCGAGCGCCGCGACCCATTGATCTGGAGTGATCGATTCACTCGGAGTGAGCTCGCCATCATCGATCTGTGCTGGTTGTACGCGATGCTCGATCCCTGCAGTAGACAGCATCTCCCTCCTTCGAGGAGAGGAACTCGCGAGCACGATAATCGGGAGCTCCGGACGATCTTGGATTGACTCTGTGTCTGTGCGCATAGGACTCAAATCATGTATACCAGTTCGGGCCTGCCTGGTTCTCGAGATCTCACAAAGAGTCTCAAATCTTCATATCGGGACGAAGGGAGTTTCATAACGACAAAAAAACACCCCGCCGAAGCGGGGTGTTGAGAGGGTCAGATGACCTGAGTCGATCCTGTTGAGCTTACTCGTACAGGTTCGTTGCTTCGGTTTCGATAACCGGGCTGGTCAGGTTGTCCGAGGTCATTTCCAGACGGAAGCGGACATCGCCAGCTCCGTCAGCACGGACGGTGATGCGCCACGATGCAACCCCGCCGACCTCGAGGGTTCCGACTGGGCTGAAGGAGATGCGCTGACCGTTGACAGTACCAGCGGTGGTACCAGTCGAACCAACATATGCCTGCTCGTCTGGGAGGGTCGCGACGACGCGGACGTTGGTGTCCTCAGCCGAACCCTGGTTGGTGACAGTGATCACATAAGTGGTCTGTCCGCCGACCTCGACTGGGTCAGTGATGTCGACCACTTCGAGGAGGACCGCTGGGATACCCTTGACACCGGAAGTGCAGGAATCTTCAACAGACTCAGCACACGAAGCGTTGGCGACTGCCGACGAGGTGTACTCGCCTGCGTCGGAAGCAAGGACGGTGATCGAGAAGTCACGCTCAGCGCCCTTCGCGAGGGTACCGAAGTCCCAGACAACGCGGTTACCCGAAACTCGGCCGCCTTCTGAAGCACGAACGAGCGAGGTGCCTGCTGGGATGGTTGCCGATGCGGTTGTGGTCGCAGCTTCGCCGCTACCAACATTCTCAAGGGTGTATCCGAAGGTCATGTTACGACCAAGGAACTGAGTTTCTGAACACTCCGAGGAGAGCGCGAGCTCTGGAGCAACGATGACGGTGCTGGTCGAGCCGGACTCTGCCGAGAGTCCACCATCTGCAGTTGCGTTCGCAGTGTTGCGGAAGGTGCCGGTATCGGATGCCATCGCCTTGACCTCGTAGGTCTTGGACTCACCCGAAGCGAGCGTACCGACTGGGATGTTGACATTGCGGCTGCCGTTGGCCATCGCGACGCCCTCTGGGAGGGTGTCGGTGATCACGACATTGTTTGCTGCACCAGTACCGGTGTTCTTCACAGTGAAGCGGAACACGATCTCGTCACACTTGAGTGCACGCTCGGTCGCGGTCTTGGTGAGTGCCAGTGCAGGCTCAACAACATTGAGCGATGCACAGAGGAAGTTGTTGTAGGAAACAGTGATGCAGTCCGATGCCTGACCGACTTCATTCGCGACGCCGGTAAGGGTGATGATCTTGGTTTCCTTCGGAGCGAAGTTGCCGAGTGCCCAGATCATGTCGCCACCGCTGTTGCTGGCGCTTGGATCGGACTCGGAGATTTCAAGATTGCTCTTGGAGTTGAGCGAAACGATCACATTCTGCAGCTCGGAGCTGGTCAGGTTGGTAACATGGTAAGTGAAATCAAAGTCTTGGCCGCGGACCACTTCACCAGGCATGACCTGGTGAAGGAGGATCGCGCTGGTGCGGATTTCGCCGGTTGGGAACGCCATGCGTGCCATGGTCTCACCATCGTTGAGCGATGGCGAGTAGTAGCCCCACGAAGTGGTGCGTGGACGCTGGGTGGTTGCCGGTGCGTTTGTTTCATCAGCGCCGGTCAGGTCAATGCCGCCGTGGTGATCATCAGCACGCTCAGTGCGAGTGGTTGTTGAGTTACAGCCGATCAGGGTCGCTGCAAGGCCGATGCCTGCGGCGAGCATGATCGAAGTTCTGAGACCTTTACGATTTTTCATGTCCTCGTGCTCCAGTTAGGTTTGGGGACCTTATGTCCTATGCGGAACGCCCTCCGCGAGGGTGCGAGATTCTGTATCCACAATGCTAGGCATACCTAACACTGCGCATGGTTATTTTGGCCCAGTAACTGCTCTGCTGCCATAAAAATGGCGTTTTTTATCGGGATGCAACAGCTTCAATACACGCACGATGAAACTGTTCACCAGCGCTTCTGAAGTTGATGTCCAATCTCGGCAAATAGACTGGAAGTCCACTTTGCCAATTTGCCCCGATCCCCGAAGATTCCAGCCGACACCAATCCTTCATGGTCATCAAGATCGCGTCCGCAGATCGAGCATCTCTCACAAACTGTTCAAGCACGGCAATGGAAAATTCTTCGTGATCCGGACGATCACATCGATGCAATACATGCGCTCCTGATGAGACAGCCATCTCGGCAAACGACTCTGGATGACCAATTCCAGTCAAGATTGCTACCCGCTGATCTTTGAGTATCTCAACTGGACAGCTTGTGATCTGACCATCAGGATCATGCTGATCAACAGAACTCCACGCGTGCTCTCCGACGACCACCAAGGGATCATGATTGGTGTTCGACTCAATCCACCCACGCAGCATACCAAGCTCGCTTTGCTCAACCATCTCCGAGTGCGTGATCAAAATCACATCCGCACGCGAGAGCGACTCAGCACTTTCACGAAGAAATCCCAATGGCAGCAACGCATCACGGCTTGGTGGTCGTGACGCATCAATTAAAACGATGTCCAGGTCCCGTGCGATCTTGCGATGCTGAAAGCCATCATCGAGCACAACACAATCGATCTGTTCCCCACGCTCGCTTGCAAACAGCTCCTGCAAGCCAGAAGCTCGATCCGGCTGAGCGACTATGGGAACACCTACGAGAGCAGACGAGTGCTCTCGTTCCTCATCGCTCAACTGACCAGGCTTTGCCTTGTATCCACGCATCGCGATCGCGGGGTGATGTCCTTGCTCCATCAGCGTGCGGACGACATGCTGAACGACGGGAGTCTTTCCAGTCCCACCAGTAGAGAGATTCCCGACGGAAATCACCGGACGATCCAGCGTGGTCACACCGATCCCTCGATCGTACTTCCGATTCTGATGATTGATCCCGATCGTATAGAGCTTTGAGAGTGCAGACGCCAAGAACACAGGCAGCCGAGTCGGGCGGTGTTCTGGAATCATCCCGCCCGCTCCGATTGTTCCATGAGCTTGAATATCTCATCGCGGAGTGCCTTGCGCTGGACCTTCGCGAGCCGGAGCGAGTTGAGTGCATCGACGCATGCCATGAGCACGATCAGTCCCAGCAGTCCGACGATGCAGGACCACGAGTAGATGAACTCCTGCTCCTGAGCCGGAGTCACGATCCCGAATCCGTAAGCCGTGAGTGGGATCGTGAACATCATGATCCATCCTGTCATCATCCGGATCTGTCGTCTGGACTCAGGCATCTTCCCGATCGCGTGCTCTCGGAGGACGATCATATGCGCCGCAACCACCAGCAACGCGATCATCGCGAGCGGGAGCACAAACCAGGTTGGCGCGATCGGCGCGTATTCCATATTCCGATCATACAACGATTCCATGAAGTCTGCCGCCAAAAACCCCATTTGCTGCCCCAAGACCTACACTCTCGGACCATGATCGACCTCAAAGCATTGCGTGACAATCCCCAGCGTTTCAAAGACGGCTGCGCCAAGAAAAACTACACAGTTGACATCGATCAACTGCTCAAACTCGACGAGCAACGACGCTCGCTCCAGAGCGAGCAAGAAGCACTGCGCTCAGAGCAAAAGAAGCTCTCGAAAGAAACCGGTCCAAAGATCGGTCAGCTCATGGGACAGCTCAAAGGCGCCAGCGACGCCGACAAGCCGAGCATCGAAGCGCAGATCGCGGAGATCAAAGAAGCACCCGCGAAACTCAAGGACCAGATCACCGCACTGGACGAACAGATCGCGCAGATCGAGCCAGCACTCAATGAGTTGTTACTCGCGATCCCGCTCCCCCCGGATGATGATGTCCCAGTAGGAAGCACAAGCGACGACAACGTCGAGATCTCCCGCTGGGCGCCCGATGGCTGGGACTGGGACAAGACCTTCGAACAGAACAAAGGCTTCGCTCCCAAGTCGCACATCGAGCTCTGCGAGATGCACAATCTCGTCGACTTCCCTCGAGGCGTCAAGATCGCGGGATCACGCTCGTACATCCTCAGCGGCGACGGCATGAAGCTCCACCAAGCGATCCTCCGCTACGCGATCGACACGATGACCAACGAGAACGGCTTCACCCCGATGAGCGTCCCTGTCCTCGTGCGCGAACAAGCAATGATCGGCACAGGATTCTTCCCAGGAGGCAAAGACCAGTCCTACCAGGTCAACGAAGAAGGACGCGGCGGTGGACAAGACATGTACCTGACAGGCACAGGCGAAGTCGGACTCATGGGACTCCACCAAGACGAGATCATCGACGAAGCAAACCTGCCACTCAAGTACGTCACCGTCTCGACCTGCTTCCGCAGAGAAGCGGGAGCAGCTGGCAAAGACACAGCAGGTTTGTACCGCATCCACCAGTTCGACAAGGTCGAGCAAGTCGTGATCGACGTCGCGGATGAATCCAAATCGCGCCAACACCACAAGGACATGATGGGGTTCGTCGAGCACCTCCTCAAATCCCTCGGACTCCCCCACCGATTGCTCCAGTGCTGCACAGGTGATCTTGGCGTGAAGAACGCCGACATGATCGACATCGAATGCTGGATGCCCTCACGCGGCGACGAGGACGACAACGGAGTCCCAACCGGAGAGTTCGGAGAAACCCACAGCGCGAGCCGACTCTACGACTTCCAGTGCCGACGCCTCAACATGCGCTACCGCGCCGGAGGAGAGAAAGGCAAAGGCGCGACCACCTTCTGCCACTCCCTCAACAACACCGTCGCCGCATCTCCTCGCATCCTGATCCCGATCATCGAGATGTACCAAAACGCCGACGGCTCGATCACCGTCCCCGAAGCGCTACGCCCGTACATGAACGGACAAGAACGCATCGGATAAGTGTTCAGAATTGTTGCAATAACTTTATGAGTCAAACCATTGACTTCCTTAATTGAGAGACCAACAACTCTCTCCACTGAACTTTGCGTTGTGCGAAGTTTGAAAGGAGTCCTCATGCTTTTCCTGATTTCATCAGGCATTGAACACAAACAAGCGAAGCGCCAGCGGTATGACTGGTCTGACTTTGCTTGTGGACACATGGGTTGACCACACGCCGGGCGTGGTCTGCCCGGCAGCCAATGCATATTTACCCGGCTTAGTTTTGATCAACACGCACGCGTGTGTTGACATTCATCGTTCCGTCGCGGTGTTGCGCGGATCACTTATCTATTGCGCCAGGAGTTCATCATGAACGCACAAGTTATCATGGCGCGTTCACTCGCGCCCGAAGACATCCTCCCCGGGACCTATGTGATGGTCCTCCACGAGAAGCGGGAGTTCCTCCACGCGGTCAATCCGATGGAAGGGAATACCGCGCCGATGATCAGTCGTCTGGACATGCGCCCGGACGAGACTGAGCTCCCTCGGATCGTGGTCGCCGTGAATCTCCCGTTCGTAGTGGTCAAAAACTACCAGAAGCGAACCTCGGTGATCGATACGCGAACCGTCGCTCTCGCGAAGGTGAGCAAGAAGTTCGCACGCGCCGCGATCACACCGAACATGAATCGTCAGCAAGAATCCAGCAAGGATTCATCATGCGAGACATGCAAGGCAAACTAATCACTCCCTCGGGATACAAAGCTCCGCCCGGCATGCACTCTGTATGCCGGGCGGATATGCTATATGCATGACCCTGATCAGCCGCATCATCCAATCCCCCATCAGCCCCCTGCGAGCCGCGACCACCGACCGCGGCATCTGCCTGCTCGAGATGGGATCCCCCGAGCGTGCGCAGCGGGAACAGTCTGAACTCGAAGCCGCGTTTGACACGAAGATGATCGAGGGCGATCACCCGCTCCTCGATCAACTCGAGTCCGAGCTCAATGGATACTTCAAGGGCGAGCTCACGAGATTCACGGTCCCCCTCGACTGTCCCGGATCGGAGTGGCAGACCAAAGTCTGGAACGCGCTCGTCGACATCCCGTTCGGAGAAACCATCTCCTATGGGCAGCTCGCGACCCGACTCGACAATCCAGGCGGCGCTCGCGCCGTCGGACTCGCCAATGGTCAGAACCGCGTCAGCATCGTCGTGCCTTGTCATCGTGTCATCGCCGCCGACGGAACCCTCCACGGCTACGGCGGAGGACTCCCTCGCAAACGCTGGCTCCTTGATCACGAAGCAACCCACTCCTCGCACGGGCTCTTTACCCAGTCTTCTAAAGAAACCGCATCAGTCTAATCCGAGCCGAACCATCGGCACCGTGCCCTCGACATGCACCGCTTTGGGCTCGCCGTGCTCGCGCAGATAGCGGATGCATTCCAGCATCTCATCCCGCACCGGCGCGACAAACGCGATCGGCTCATGGTTGATCGGATGCGTAAACGCGAGCAACGCCGCGTGGAGCGCTTGGCGCTCGATCAACGGGTTGCTGTCCTCGTCCATCAATGGCTTCCCCCGATACAGATCATCCCCCACGATCGGGTACCCGATATGCGACAGATGCACACGGATCTGATGAGTCCGCCCCGTCATCAGTTCCAGCTCGACCAGTGAATACCGGCGCGACACATGCTTGTGTCCCAGAGCAGGCAGCTCGTACCGCTCGCGAACCCGGCACACCGTCTTGCTCGGCTTTCCCAGATCATCAAACCGCACGACCCGCTTCTCGCGAGCACCCTTCGCACGCGACAGGTGTGGCCCCAGCGGCAGATCGATCATCTGCTCATCAGGTTCTACCCACCCCTGCACCAGCGCCAGGTATCGCTTATCCACCTTGCGATCCTCGAACTGCTTGCCCATCTGCCAGTGCGCCTGATCGGTTTTCGCAAACACGATGCACCCTGATGTATTTCGATCGAGCCGATGGACCACGCCGGGACGCGCGTATTCCTCGCCGACGGAGGACAACTCGCCGCTGGAGTTGGTCTGGAAGTGATGCACAAGTGCGTTGAGCATCGTTCCCCGATTCTCTGCACGCGCTGGATGCACAATAATGTCAGGCTGCTTGTTAAGCACCAAAATATGCTCATCCTCGTACATTACATCGAGCGGGATCGGATCGGGTTCGATCTCACCAGAAGGTGGAGGCGGAATCACCAGCTCGATCGTGTCGCCGTCTTTGAGTTTCGTAGAGGGTTTGGCGGTCTTGCCGTTGACCGTCGCCCCACCGTCTGCCATGAGGTTCTGCAGTTGGTTTCGGCTCATGAAGGTCACACGAGTCGTAAGATATTTATCCAGACGAGTACTCAGTGACGAACGCGAGATCTCGAATCGAACGCGCACGAGAAACTCGTCATCACCTTCTTGTCGTGCTTGGTCATACGCTGATCGGACCGCATCCGGATCGACCTTCCCCCCCGGCAGGATCAGGTCGGGGGTTGTCTGTTCGGGCGTGGATTGATCGCCCGACTCACTCACGGCGACTCAGACTCTGAATCTTCAGAAGTTGTTTCAGCGTCTGCAGCATCTTCATCTTCGCTCGACTCGACATCGGATTCCGCATCTGCGTCCTCGGTCGCTTGTGGAAGCTCTTCAACCTCTTCGCCTGGGAGCGAGACAAGGTCTTCCCGGCTCGGAAGCGTCAAATCCGCATCGTACGATCCCAACGCATCGATCCGCATCTGCGCGTAGTTCGCGAGCGCCGGCATCGAGATCGAGTTCGCGACAGCCATCGCACGCTCGTATGAAGCTTTCGCGGCATCAAAGTCACGCTTGCACTCATCGATCGCTCCTGCTCGCACGAGTGCGTGGAGTACAAAGATTTCTTTGCCGACCACATCGGTGTTGGTTGTGATGACATCTTGAACCAGATCATCCGCTTGATCTAGATAGACCGCACGCTGACCATCATCGAGCGCGTCGTTCTCATCGAGCGGTCCGCCGGTCAAAGGAGAAATCTGAGCGCCAGGTTGAACCCCACGAACAAAAGCGGAGATGTACAAATCCGCAGTGGTGAGTTTCGCGATCTGCGAAACCGATTTCACACCTGTGTATTCCTCAGCGAGTGCGTTGAGCGAAGCCGGCGATGGATTCCCACCAACAGTCGCTGCATGGAGATCACCAAACGCTTGATCGATTTTCTCGATCTTCTTTCGTTCCATCCATCCGAGTCCTGCCCAGACCAGAGCCGCAATCGCGATGACGAGAATCACCGGCGAGCTCCACTTGTTCAGGAAGTCGATGAATTCTTTATTGATCCGCGAGTCTTCCAACCCAGCGCCGGCGCGAATTTCTGTTTGACGATCGTCCATAGTGCTTCCTGATCAAACCAAGACAAAGGACCGATCCCTGTGGATAAGTCACTTTCAAGTGACCATCGCATGAATCGGGGGGAGATATTAGCTCAGAAATGCCCTCTGTGTGTCAGGATCACCAGAATCGCCACGCTTTGGGAGTGCTCAGCTCAATTGGATCGACCAGCCGATCACGAATCCCGCGGACCACACCATCGATCCCCTCACCGGATTTCACGCTGCACTGATATTCCGTCGAGCATCTCGAGTCCCCTAGATCACTCCGCATCCCGATCCGAATGATCGGCGTCTGATCAGCGATATGAGCCGAGAGTCGTGGATCAAGTGCTCCAAGTGCATCATCATGATCGATCGCATGAACCACCAGATCCGCTCGCTGAATCACAGGCTCAAGCACACTCAGCTCTTCCCCCACTTCCACGCGTTCATCAATCCCAGGCGTGTCCACCCAACGAACGACCAATCCCGCGAGATCGAGCATCACTCCTAAGTGATCTCTCGTAGTCCCGGCATGATCCGACACCATCGCAATCGATGATCCCGCGAGCGCGTTGACCAATGACGATTTCCCGATATTCGCTCGCCCCACAGCAACAACCAACGGCGGAGCGATCAGATGTCTCAGCGTCGAACCACGCTCCACTGATTCTTCATCGGAGACAGCTCTCCAGAGTTCAGGTTGATTGAGCAACACATCCACCGCGAGCGGACTTGGACTCTTTGATAATGCGTCGAGCATTCGCGCTTCATGGATATCTCCAGCCTCAGGATACTTGCGCAACAGATCCGACTCTTTGCGGATCGGAATGCCGACATCGACAAGCGCCTCCGATATCACGCGTGTATTCCCGATCCCGCCGTGCGGCATCAGCATGAGCGTGCGCTCATCGAATCGAGCAAACAACGCATCATCCAATCCCAACACAGACCGCAGCGAGATCTCACCCACTCGCATAGGTGACATCTTCAAGACATCGAACACACCATCCAAGTCCTCGGAGCGCACAGAAACCACAGAGACCGCACCAACAGCGTTGCTCGACGTATCAATGGTGTGCGACGCGTTCATCACTCGTCATCGTCTTCGTCAATCAACTTCGTGCACGCGACGCGGATCCCCTGCAACTGCAGATCAGGAACGAAGGTGTCGATCAGCTCATCCCCCTCAAGCACTCCCAGATCGCCACCCGTCACGATGGTCTGTGGATACGCTTGGTAATGGTCCGCGTAACGCTCAGTTAGCGTTCGCACAGCGCCACGGATCGCATAAGTCACCCCCAACAAGATCGCTTCATCGGTCTGCTTTGCTGGCTCATTTGATCCAGCATCCAGCTTGCGATAGGTGAGCTTCGGGAGATTCGCCGTCGAATCATGCAGCGATGAGAGCATCATCGAGATCCCAGGCAGGATCGCTCCGCCGTGGAAGACACCAGTGCCATCAACAAAGTCGATCGTGACCGCAGTCCCGATGTCAATCACAACACATGCTTGATTGAGCGTATCGAACGCACCAAGAGCACAGAGCAATCGATCCTGACCCACAGTCATCTCGCCCGACTCCGTCAGTGTGTGATGGATTGGGATCTGGAAGTCTCTCCCGAATCGGTAGGTTGGGAAAGACACCACATCGTGCACAGCCCGCTCGATCTCATCCGCGTGCTTGGGATGAACACCTGCGATGACGACCGTTGGTTGATCAGCCGAGAGCTCTCCCAATGAGTCGGAGATCTCTTTGACCCGCTGAGCAATCCCCGCGGAATCGCTGGATTCGAAAGACTGGGGATTAAGACATTCCTTGTTGATCCCAGAGAACGACCCAACGCGAGTACGCGTGTTGCCCACAGCGATCGCGATGAGTGACCCGATCTGGATTGGAGCGGATTCTGATTGGTCTTCGGAAGGTCTCAGTGAGTCGTCTTGGATCATGAGGGAAGCGTAGACACAGAGCGGATTCAAAGAGTCCCCTGAAGCTCCGCAGGCACGAATCTGGGATGGAGTCTACCCTTCAGGATGCCGATAATACGGCTGGAGGCGCTCGACCCGATGTCACGATGCTTAGCAGATGAATCCATTGCCCGGAAAACGATCCAAGGATTCGGTTTCCCGCTTGGTGTCTATCCAGTTGAGCCCATGAAGCCGCAAGAGGGGTACAACTCCGACTTCGAGCAAGCGGACGGCGACGACGGCATCGAGGATGTCGAAGCGTGGCCCGATCGCTATGTCTACGACATCGTCATCAGCGCCCAAAGACTGCACGCACTCTGGGTACAGATCTTCGCGCTTATGCCGGGACGCGTGTATCCGATCTTGGATTACATCGGACACGACTGCTACCGCGAGATTGACCCCTACATCGCGTACGAACCCATCGGACAGGAACGCGTCACCAACTTCCTCCAGCGCTACCACGACTTCTTCTTCGAAGACGGCATGGTGGGATTCGGAGCGGTCTCTGAAGACCCATTCTTCTACGCGTTTGTCGATGAGCACAAAATACTGACCATCCGTGTTGAACCTGAGCTGTGTCCGAAGATCGAACAACTCCTTGCTTCATTTGGCATCGAAGCGGTCGATGAGCCCGCAGGCGCCGACGCCGCGGCTCATGAGCATCGATCGGTGCTGATCACTCCCAAGGACCGTCCCGATCTGCTCAATGCGGATGAAATTGTGGAAGCCGCTCGTCATCACTGGGGATTGGTCCTTAATGTCGATCCGGAATCAAACCTGGATGATGAGGGAAACGATCTGGGGATCACGCCGTTCCGTTGCCTTCTCCGCTACGAGACCGACCAGAACCCGACCGCCCAGTATGCCGAGGTCCTCTGTACCGCAGCATCAATCCACGAAGCGGAGTCGCTGGCGCTCGAAGCGATCGAGCAATTGATTGAGGAGCCAGAGACGGACAAGTCAACGACTGATATCTACCTGCTCAGCGCGGATCGCGTTGAGCCGAAGGACATCAGCGTTGAACCCGAGCATTCCAAAAGTTCTAAACCGCTTCCCAAGAAGTACTTGCAGCAGCAGTCCATACTGAGTGCTCGCTGGCTCACAGGCACCAAATAAACAAAGTAGCTCGTGATTCCAGAGCACTAATCAAGATCAACCGTGCTTTTCGATTGGTTGATTGAGCATCCACTGCAGTGCTAGGCCGAGAATGCGAATTCTCTGGATCCGCAAGCAACCCTTCTTGATTTGCGATCGAATAGACACCACATCACCAGTACGCACGGCCCCGCTTTCGTGCTTTAACACTGGTCGATACGGGACAACGAAAGACACAACTTCCGAGATCAGACCTCTGGTCTCACTACGAACCGCACGAGAAGGCCAAAAACTCGGCATCAGCAATGGCGATATTGGGGATCAAATTCATGCCAACCATTTGCGATTTCACTCCGACGCCGGTATTGTCCCTCCCTACGGTTCGCGAGCGTCGTTTGGCGCGCATGAAAGCCGTTGTGCGGGTACGATGATAGTGCCCGCTCACCATAAGTAGATACAGGACCGTTCGACACCACTGTCGGCACAAACACATTGAACGGAGTGATTCCGGATGTCACCCACCAGACAACGATTCGTGACCTTGCTTCTCGCCACTACCGGAGCCGCTGCTTCCTTCGCATATGCGAACGCAGACTCAACAAATGCTCCGGACACACACGCAAGTGTCCAAACGGGTGATGTGCTCGATCGTGCGACACAGCTTTTCAATGATGGAGAGTTGATCCGCGCTCGTGCAATGATCCAAGCACTGCAAAGCTCCCCTGCAGGTATGTCACTCAGTGACGAGCAAGATCAACGCGTTTGGAAACTGCTCGCAAACATCGAACGCTCAATTCAACGCACCGACCGTCACGATATTGCACTCCAGAAAGCCGAGTTCGCTCTCGGCGGAGATCGACTCGTTGACGCAGAGCGACAGATCCAAACGATCTACAACGCTTCCAAGTCCTCCGCAGAACAAATCGATCGCGCCAATGCGGTTTCCGATCAGATCAAACTCCGTCGCGACCAAGCACAACCGCTTGTTCCTGCGACCCTCCGCTCCGCGATCGATTCGTTCAACCAAGGCGATTACGCTCGCGCCAAGAACATCATCAACCGCATCGGCATGCTCGGACTGGATCTGGATGCACAGACACGACGCAAGCTGACTGTCTACCGCACCCGCATCGCGGACCTTGAGCAAACGCGTGGCGAAACCTTCGGAGACGCATCCCCTTCCATGGGCATGCTCGCTCCAGAATCGGGCAACAACTCAGAGTGGCTCATCTCCAATGCAGAGGAAATGCTCGCCCAACCGGTCGAAGTTGAGAATGACGATCCAGAAGTCATCATCGTCGAGGTTGAACCTGCTGATGTGACCGAAGAACCTGCTGAAGTCGACCTCGTCGAGACCGCACGCAAGTTTGAAGCACAGACTCTGCTCGCAAACGCCAATGTCGCGTACGAAGAACGCCGACTCAACGACGCGATGAACTCGTACAACAACCTCCTCCAAAACTTCGGTTCCTACATCTCCGACGAGGAACGCACCCTCGCAGGACAGCGTCTCAATGAAGTCGAGATCGCACTCGGCGTCCAAGGCGGTCCATCCGGTGGAGGCTTGGATGATCCGATCCAAGAGAGCAGCATCATCATGCAGCGCCTCACCGCGACCTATGACAACCTCACCACACAAGCAAACGATGCACTCGCCGCAGGCGATACCGCGGTCGCATCTGGACTCGTCGCTCAAGCTCGTCTGGAAGTTCAGCGTGCTCGTGAGTTCATGCCCGAAGCAACCTACGAGAACTACATCGCTGAACTCGATGGCCTCGCATCAAGCATCGCACAGCGCGACGAGCAGCTCCGTCAGACACGACTCGAGCAAGAAGCCGCCGAGCGTGAGCAGCGCACCCTCGAACTCGAAGCCCAGCGTCTCAACGAACGCGACGAGCGTGTGCTCGCTTCCCTCGAACGCGTGCGTGCTCTCCAGTCCGAACTCAAGTACGAAGAAGCACTCGAGATCGTAGAGAACATCCTCTTCCTCGATCCGGCAAACCCATCAGGTCTGCTCCTCAAGGACATCATTGAGGACACCATTGTCTACCGCGACTTCCTCGGCTATCAACGCGACAAGAACCTGAGCTACGCTCACGAGTCGCTTGACAACCAGGAAGCGATGATCCTTCCGGACTTCCTAATTGACTACCCAGATGACTGGCCCGCAATCAGTTTCCGCCGCGGCTCGACCCTTGAGTTCGCAGAATCCGAGGCGAACCGTGCCGTCCTTACTCAACTGCGCGAAACACGCATGCCGGTCGATTTCGATGACAACTCCTTCGAAGATGTCCTCGCATTCATCGGCGCGACCGCAAACCTAGACATCGATACCGACTGGGAATCACTCGCTGACATTGGCGTCGACCCTGACACCCCGATCACACTCCGCTTGAACAATGTCACGCTCGAAGTCCTTCTCGATCGTGTCCTTGCCAAAGCATCTGATCCTGTTCTTCCCGCGAGCTGGGCCGTTCAAGATGGCATCCTGACCATCTCTTCAGATGATGTTCTCCGTCAGAACACCATCCTCGAAATCTACGATGTTCGCGACCTGCTCTTCGAAGTCCCTGACTTTGACAACGCTCCGCAGTTCAACATCCAGAGCAGCGGCGGGTCCAGCGGCGGACAAAGCCCGTTCTCAGGTGGTGGCACCCAGATCCAGCTCACTACTCGTGAAGATCGGGTCACCGCGATCTCTGACCTCATCCAGTCGAGTGTTGATCCAGACGGCTGGGCGGATGCCGGAGGCGACACCAGCTCGCTGACCTCCCTCAACGGCAACTTCATCATCACGACCACCCCACGCTACCACAGAGAAGTCATCGGACTGCTCAACAAGCTCCGTTCGCAGCGTGCAGTCCAGATCAATGTCGAAACCCGATTCATGTCGGTCGACCAAAACTTCTTCGAGCAAATCGGATTCGATCTGGATGTCTACTTCAACGCAAACAGCACGGAATACCAACGCGGCGTAGCGATTGATCCCTCACTCCTCCCATCTGACTACTTTGACCCCATCACCGGTGAGCTCGTAGACAATGTCTCTGGTGGGGGCAACTTCCCGATCGACACCGACGGCGACGGCGTTCCCGACGCGATCGGCGTAGTCACCCAGCCAGTCTTCAGTCCCGGCGCTAATGGAGGTGGTGGAGCAAACAACGACCAATGGTCTGTCATCAGAGGTGCACAAAACTCGTTCGGGCTCACCGAAACCCTCGCGGGCGCAAGCTCATTCGCAGCAGACATCCTCGGCGCAAACCCGGCACTCGGCGTGACCGCTCGATTCCTCGATGATGTTCAAGTGGACTTCCTTGTTGAAGCAACCCAAGCGGATCAGCGTTCGGTCACACTGACCGCACCACGACTGACCTTCACCAATGGCCAGCGAGCATTCATCACCGTGGCAACCACCACGACCTTTGTGTCTGACCTCACACCGATCACTGGGTCCAACTCAGGTGCGTTCGACCCAGTCCTCACCCCGATCTCTGACGGTGTGCTCCTCGACATCACAGGTGTTGTTTCCGCAGATCGTCGCTATGTCACCATGACCATCCAGACTCAGCTCTCGGATAACGACCTCGACTCCAACCCTCGTACCGTCACCCAACAGGGTGCCGCGGGTGGCGGCGGCGGCACTGCCGGTGGTGTCGGAAGTGCTTCAACCTTTACCGGTACCATCCAGCAACCAACCGTAACCTCTACGCAGATTAACACTACGGTCACTGTTCCCGACCAAGGCACAATCCTGCTCGGCGGACAGCGCCTCGTGGACGAAGTTGAAGTAGAGACCGGCGTCCCAGTCCTCTCCAAGATCCCCATCCTCTCGCGATTCTTCTCGAACCGCATCGATGTGAAGGAAGAGAAGACACTCCTCGTGCTCCTCAAGCCAACCATCCTGATCCAGAACGAGGAAGAGGAACGCCACTTCCCAGGTCTGCTCGATCAACTCGGCGGCTAATTGGTACAGCACTATAATCGAACCCCAAAACTCACTCGGAACCGGCTCTCAAGCCAGTTCCGAGTTTTTTTATGTCGCGGATTCTCACCTTGACTACCAAGTTATTTTCGCGCCAAACATGCTCTCATGTTCTATAGTGGGTGCGTCAGTTTCAGTACACGCATCAACGGGAGACGGCCGATGTCCGAGTCCAGACTTAGGATTTCCAAAATCGACGAGGTGACCCAGGTTGAGTTCATCGATCGCAACATTCTGGATGAAGCAAACATCCAAGCGATCAGTGATGAAATCAGTGGGTTGATCGACACGACCTCAACCCCACAGATCCTGATCAACTTTGCGAATGTTGATCACTTGTCTTCCGCGGCTCTTGGGGCGCTGATCACCATCAACAACAAGACCAACGAAAAAGACGGCACACTCCGTCTCGCAAATATCGATCCGCAGATTTATGAAGTCTTCGTGATCACAAGGCTGAACAAACTCTTCAACATCCACGAGACGCTGAACGACGCGATGACACAGTTCAACGCGGCGACCAACTAACCCGGATAAGAATGGGCGATCCAAGCACAAGCATCCCAGGATCAGAATCCGTGCAGTTGGTCAATGATCGTGATCAAATCAACGAGTTGATTGACCGGATTCTCAAGCTTGCCGTAGACGCGGGGCTCAAGGATGCCGCTCTGTTCGCAGTCCGACTCGCGATCGAAGAAGCAATCACCAACGCGTTCGTCCACGGCCACGAAGGACTCGATACAAACCTCCCTGTGACAGTCGAGTTTAAAGTCAGTGACGGCGATCTCCAAATCGCGATCGAAGACCAAGGACCTGGGTTCACCCCAGAAGCACTCCCTGATCCCACACTCACAGAGAACCTCTCCAAACCATTCGGACGAGGTGTGATGCTCATGAAAGCATACATGACCGAAGTCGCATTCAACAGCCAGGGGAATAGGGTCAAAATGCGATACCTCGCATCCTGAATCCAAGCGGATTTCCCCGTCGAACACAGTCCAAAACCGTTGCTTGTTCAACCGGAATGGACTACAATCCTCATAAGAATGATTCTAAAACTCAGCTCGCTCACAGAGCGTGCGTGAGATCTGAAAGGATAAACCATGGGTGTCACACTCCCTATGTACTTGGACCATGCCGCGACCACTCCTTGTGATCCTCGAGTGGTCGAAGCGATGATGCCATACTTTACCGACATCTTCGGCAACCCCGGCTCCCGCAACCATAGCTTCGGATGGGCCGCTGAAGAAGCCGTCAAAAAAGCACGCCAGCAGGTCGCTGATATCATCGGCGCCGACTCCAAGGAAGTGATCTTCACTTCTGGTTCTACGGAGTCCAACAACATCGCGATTAAAGGCGCCGCGAACATGTACGCAAAGAAGCCTGCGGGTGAGACTGGCCGTGGACACATCATCTCTGCGATTCACGAGCATAAAGCCGTGCTCGATCCATGCAAGCGTCTCGAGAAGGAAGGCTTCGATGTCACTTACCTAGAGCCGGGACCTGACGGACTCATCACCCGCGACATGGTCGAAGGCGCTCTGCGTGACGACACCATCCTCGTCACCATCATGTGGGCCAACAACGAACTGGGAACCATCAACGAGATCCCGGAGATCGGCGAACTCTGTCACAGCAAGGGCGTGGTTTTCCACACCGACGCGACGCAGTGGGTTGGCAAAATGCCTACCAATGTCAAGACCGACAACATCGATCTCCTCTCGCTCTCGGGACACAAGATCTACGGCCCCAAGGGTGTCGGCGCTCTCTATGTCCGTCGTCGCAAGCCACGCATCCGCTTGACCGCGCTCCAAGAAGGCGGCGGACAAGAACGAGGTTTCCGTTCAGGAACGCTGAATGTCACCGGCATCGTCGGTCTCGGGAAAGCGTGCGAACTCTGCGCTCAGTCCATGGATGACGAACGCGAACGCCTCCTTGAGTTCCGCAATATGCTCGAATCAATGATCGAGAAAGAACTCGATGTCGTGCAAGTCAATGGTCATCGCGACAAACGACTCGCAAACATCACCAACATCTCATTCGGCTTCGTGGAAGGCGAGTCTCTCATGATGGCGATCAAGGAAATCGCTGTAAGCTCCGGATCCGCGTGCACCAGCGCCTCGCTCGAACCAAGCTATGTGCTCAAAGCTCTCGGCATTGGCGACGACCTCGCTCACTCTTCGCTGCGTCTGTCTTTCGGTCGCTGGACGACCAAAGAGCAAGTCGAGTTCGCGGGAAACAAGATCATCGAGGCGGTCAAGAAACTCCGCGATCTCTCACCGCTGTACGACATGCACAATGAGGGGATCGACATCTCCAAGATCGAATGGGCTGCACACTAACTGACTCGATTCCCATCGGGATCGAAATGGAACAAATCGGACGCGAACAGCGTTTACCGAATAGACAACAACCACCTGAGAGGTGAACCATGGCATACGGCGACAAAGTCATCGACCACTATGAAAACCCACGCAATGTCGGCACATTCGGCACGCAGAAAGAGATCAAAGAGTCCAAGGAGATCGGTGTTGGTCTTGTCGGCGCCCCTGAGTGTGGAGATGTGATGCAGCTCCAGATCAAGGTCAACGACGATACCGGTATCATCGAGGACGCGAAGTTCAAGTGCTTCGGTTGCGGATCCGCAATCGCAAGTTCTTCACTCGCGACTGAATGGCTCCGCGGCAAAACCCTTGACGAAGGACTCGACATCAAGAACACTGAGATCGTGGAAGAACTCTCGCTCCCACCAGTAAAGATCCACTGTTCAGTCCTCGCTGAAGACGCGATCAAAGCCGCGATTTCCGATTACAAGCACAAGCAGGAAGCGTGAACCGAGCTAGAATACTGCTCGTATACACAGACGACACGGAGGCGCCCCATGAGCACTGACACCCCAACCGCACAAGATTCGGTCATCATCACCGAAACCGCCGCGAACGAGATCCTCAGCATCATCGAGAAGCAAGAACTCGACAAGGAGAAAGTGCGTTTGCGTGTCGGAGTCAAAGGTGGAGGCTGCTCAGGATTCAGCTACCTGCTCGACCTCACAGAGACCCAGAAGGACTCTGACGAAGTCTTTGAACAACACGGCATCAAGGTCATCATCGACCCCAAATCGCTCCTCTACCTGAGCGGCGTCGTTGTGGATTTCAAAGACGAAATCATGGGACGAGGCTTCGTTTTCAATAATCCGAACGCTTCAAGCAGCTGTGGATGCGGATCCAGCTTCTCAGTCTGATATTTCCGATAACATATAGAACTGACACAACCATCATGGATTACCCATGGTGGCTTGTTTGATGCACGAGGATCGTGGACAAGGATGAACCGGATATGGACTCTATGACGAGAACGAAAGCACGGAGACTCCTAACCATGGCAAAGCGCGGCACAACCCTTCTCTCATCGCTCATCCTCGCTGGATGCACGCTCCCTATTCCTGTGTTCACCACCCAATCAGCAGCGATTCAGGTCGCTGAGCACGATGAATCTGAACCAGTCTTCACAGACTGGTGGTACCAGATGCATGTCGCACTCCGGAACTCCGATGGAGATGTGGTTTGGCCGCACAATCCGACTGCCTCAGATCAGTTAAGTGTCCCATCATTCGATCCGCGCCAAGAGAGATTTTACACCCCAATGCCACAACCCAATGGCGGACACGGCATCGGATTCACCGGCTGGATGAGTTGGCTGCTCACCGCTTCGATGGAACGAGTTGCTCAAGCAGGAGCTCCCGTTACAATTCTCATCCGCGAACGAAACTGTCCATTCCCATACAACTACTCCGAAGGCCAGCTCATTGACCCGAACTCTCTGCGTGATGCGCTCAACGCGCTTCCAAGATTAGATTATGTCTTCATGGACCTAGAGTTTGAGCCTGACAGTATCGTTCAAAATGTCAACGAGATAGTCCGCCAAGTCCGCAACCACCCGAATCCGAATGTTTCAAACGCATACATCGGGAACTACGGCGACTATCCAAGCCCCTTCGATATGGGGAATGTCTGGGAGGCACAACAAGATCGCAGCGGAGGCGGTGTCTATCACGGCTATCGTAACTGGGATCGCGATCAGTTTTATCACGATTCTGGTCTGAACGTCGCTATGCCAATCGCTTACCCATATGAAGCGTACTCAGTGCATGCTCGCCCTGAACTCCTCTCAGGTGGCCCGGCTTCTCCGAATGTCAGATCTGCATCACTCTGGGCACCTTTAGAGCGTGTTTCAGGCGCTGCTAGACTCCTCCCAGATGGACATAAAATGGTCCCTTGGGTATCGAGCTATGTTGTTTACGGAGCAGCAGATCCCGGTGGATATTATCATGCCCCGCCACCTCCAGTTTCGGATCTGAAAGCCATGATTATGCACCTCTATCTCAGAGGCGCCGATGGATTCGTCGTCTGGACAAGATCGAACACCAACACGGATCACCCACAAGCAAACTATTCGCAGTATCGCCAGCTCGCACTCGACTCATGGGTTCAAATCGAATCCAAACTTGAGGGCGAGGATCGACTCGAAATCCTCAACCTGAGCACCAACAAAGAATCTGGTGTCGAATGGTCGGCCGTTCGTTCTGAGTCAAAGGTTGTCGTCCTTGTTTCAAATCTCTCAGGTAACTCCAGCCCACGTGGTATACGACTCCCTGAGATTGAGGGCCTTCCTGTCCAGACTGCAGCAGTCGCAAATAACACCCACCGAATCTTTGTGTACGACCTCCCACAAGCTGAAGAACCAGAAGAGCCCGCAGGTGTCACGCAAGGCGACTCAACCGGATCCTCTTCCAGTGGTGATTCCGACAGCACGACCGGCACCTACTCCATCGCATCCACGAATGTCGTCACAAGCGGCGGAGGCGGTGGCGGCGGCGGTGGCGGCGGCGGTGGCGGCGGCGGTGGCGGTGGCGGTGGCGGTGGCGGTGGCAATGCCGTGACCGCAGGCGGTGGCGTCAGCTCAAGCACATCAGGCGCAACCAAAGTTGTCCGAGTCACCAAATCCTCAGGCTCCAGCGGCACACGAATTGCCAAAGCGTCCGGCGGCAACAACAACATCAATGAGCTGGAAGAAACAACACTCGCATCGGAAGAAATCACCGAAGAAACCGAGGAATCCACCCTCGCCGCGATCGAAACCAGCGACGAATAATTCTTCTCGCCAAATCTATGAAAATAGAGTATGCTTTCCCTTTCACCGATCGGATTGCCCGATCGGTCTTTCTATGACCCCCAAGCCGGACGAATCTCATGAGTGAAGCAGGATGCCCAGTCGACACCACCTCGTGCTTCTCTCCCCCAACCATGGTCCAGTTCAGCGTCTTTCTCCCCAACAAAGTCGGGAAGATGCTCGATCTCGTAGAGAACTTCGACGAAGCCTCCCAATGTCAGATCTGTGCGATCTCAGTTCACGAAGCGTCTGACCATGCCGTGGTCCGCTTGATCACGAACCACGCGCATGTCGCTCGCAGAATCCTCACAGAGCAGGAACTCGCATTCGCCGAGCACGAGGTTCTTGTCGTAGAGCTCTCTGAAGGCCACACACTCTCCAAGCTCTGTCTCTACCTCCTCGGCGTCGAAATGAATATCGCATTCGCGTACGCGCTCATGCTTGAACCGAACGGCGCCCCCACCATCGCGATCGCGATTGACGACCAAACACTCGCAGGACAGATCCTGCGTCAGAAGGGGTTCAGGCTCATCGGCGAAGCCGACCTACCCCAAAATCAGTGAATTGCAGTCAGAATACGCCACTATTCGCGGTCTACCAGCGCCCACACCAGCAACCGGAATGCCCTCAGAATGGTACACTGTGTTTAGGAACGCGTCGGACTTTTGACACAACTCAAACATCAGCAAGCGCTGAAGACAAACGGAGTATCCATGAAAGCAACCACACTCATCGCAGCCATCAGTGGCCTCGCAGTGCTCGCAGCAATCCCAGCTTCAGCATCCGCGGGACCTGATTCAAAAGCGACCAAGAACGCTCATAAAGAGACCCTTGAAGATTTGCTCCCGAACATGAAGAAGCCGGAACTCTGGATCGGATCTTCAGCTCCAGAACTCACGATTGCCAAGTTCATCAAAGGCGATTCGGTCAACGATTTCGAATCTGGACAGGTCTATGTCGTTGAGTTCTGGGCAACCTGGTGTGGCCCATGCATCGCAGCATTCCCCCACCTCACGCAACTCCAGAGCGACCACGGCGAAGATGTCCAGTTCATCGGTGTGAACATCTGGGAACGCGAGAAGGGTCAAGAACGCATGGAGAAGGTCGAGAAGTTCGTCCAGAAGCAAGGCGAGCGGATGGGCTACACCGTCGCGATCGAGGACGGCTCCTCAATGTCCGACAACTGGATGCGCCCTGCCGGACAAGGCGGGATCCCTGCAGCGTTCATTGTAGATGGCAACGGCGATATTGCATGGATCGGACATCCCGCTGAGATCGATGAACCACTCGAAGCCGTCGTTTCAGGAGACTTCGATTCCAAAACCGCCGCGAAAGACGCTTGGGATCAACAAGTCATTATGGCAGCATTCCAGAGCTTCGCCGGATCGCTCCACTCTGGTCAAGACCTCGACAAAGCACGCAAGATTGGACAGATCCTGATCAACGATCACTTCACCGATGACTCCGGCGGACTGAACGCTGTCGCGTGGATCTTGCTCAACGGACAAGCCGAGGGCGTCGGGATGCAGGACTACCAGACCGCGCTCCAAGCCGCCGCGATGGCATGCCGGATGACCGAGTGGAAAGACTGGGGTGTCATGGACACCTACGCGCTCGCGATGCACAAAACCGGAGACAATACCTCCGCAATCAAGTGGCAGAAGAAAGCGATTGAACTCGCGAAGCTCGACGAAGAAAAGGGCGGCAAAGAAGCACTCCCAGAACTCGAAGAACGCCTCGCAATGTACGAAGAAAACTAATCGACAATTAAATGCATACAAAAAGGGCACCCAACTGGGGTGCCCTTTTTATGTCAATACCTGATTGGGAATCTCAGATGAGACCCTTGTCGCCGAGCCAGTGCTCCGCATCGAGTGCCGCTTGACACCCCATCCCCGACGCTGTGATCGCCTGACGGTATTTCGCATCCGCAACATCACCCGCCGCAAAAACACCCTCGATATTGGTCTTACTCGAGCGATCTTTCAAATCGATGTATCCCGCGCTGTCGAACTCCAGAGCCGTGTCTTGGAGGAACTTGGTCGCCGGACTGTGTCCGATTGCGACGAACAAGCCCTTGATCGCGAGCTCGGATTCTTCGCCAGTCACGGTATCCTTCAAGCGCACGGCACTGATTTTCTCGTTGCCCATCTGATCCGGCTCAGAAAGACATTCGATGACCGTCTTGTTCCAGAGGACTTCAGCGTTCTCCTTGTTGAGGAACCGCTCCTGCATAACCTTGCTCGCGCGGAGCTCATCTCGGCGATGGATCACCGAAACCTTGGATGCGAACTTGGTCAGGAAAGTCGCTTCTTCCATTGCCGAGTCCCCACCACCCACCACCGCGACATGCTGATCGCGGAACATCGGGAGGGCGCCGTCACAGACGGCACAAGCACTCACGCCGCCGCCTGTCATCGCGAGCTTCATCTCCGAGTCCAGACCGATCCAGTTGGCCGTCGCGCCAGTCGAGATGATCACCGCGTGTGCTTGGATTGTGTCACCGCTCGAAGTATAGAGTGTGTGAGGCGATCCATCGCTTGAGAACTCACACTTGGTGATGTCCTCACCCACGACCGTCGTTCCAAAGCGACGCGCCTGCTCCTCGAACTTCATCATCATCTCAGGACCCGCGATCCCCTCAGGGAATCCTGGATAGTTCTCGACATCTGTCGTGAGCATCAACTGGCCACCTGGAAGCACTGGACCAGGATCTTGCTTTGCGACACCGACATAGACCACCGGCTCGAGATTCGCTCGAGCCGCATAGATCGCCGCAGTCCATCCAGACGGCCCCGAGCCAATGATGACGACTTTGTGTACTGATGTAGATTCCTGAGCCAAAGCGTGTCTCCGTTCTCGTCATAGTCCTGCACCGCAGATCGCGGTCTTGCAACATCCGCTGAACAGATTGAATTATTCCAAACCCACTCAATCGCGGCTTGCATCATAGCTCAAACACCACATACAGACGAGAAACGGGCGATCCTAAAGGACCGCCCGTCAAACAAGAGAGAATAACTCTGAGAGATGTCGTTATTGGTGTATCAGCCCGCAGCCGTCGCTGAGTTCTGAACAGGAGTAAATGCACGATCACGCTCTGGCGCGTCCTTGTCCAAATTCTCAAACGCGTTATCACGGCGGTAGAACTGGCTCGGCTTGTCGTCGTTGATCCGCTCGTGCAGACGCGAAAGCGACTCCTCGATGATCTGACGCACACGCTCGCGTGAGATACCGATACTCGCAGCAATCTCTTTGAGCGTCAACGGCTCAGCACCGTCGAGCCCGAAGCGCAGACGCAGGATTTGTGCCTCACGCTCGTCGATTGTTTCCATGAGCTTGCGGAGGATTCCCAGCTCTTCAGATTCGAGCGTTTGCTCTTCAGCAGTCCCGGCACGATGGTCAGCGATCAGCTCGCCCATTCCCATCAGATCGCCATCCATGCTACGAGGCGCTTGGTTCGGAGCGCTGAATGCTTTGACCGCACGCTTGATGATCTTGATCTTCTTGATCGGCAGGTCCATCGCAGTCGCGAGGTCTTCCATAGTCGGTGGATGCCCCGTTTCTGATTCGATCCGACGCGAGTGCATCTTCCACTTCGCGATCAGTTCAACCATGTACGCCGGGATATGGATCGGTTGGTTCGCATTGATCAGAGCACGCTTGATGCCCTGCTTGATCCACCAGCTCGCGTAGGTGCTGAATCGAGCGCCTTGTGCAGGATCGAATCCTTCCACAGCACGCATCAGACCGATATTCCCTTCCTCGATGAGATCACCGAGCGGGAGCCCGCGGTTGTTGTAGTTCTTCGCGATCGAAACAACGAGACGCAGATTCGAACGGATCATCGTTTCACGCGCAATAGGACATTGCTCGTTGATGATTTTCCATCCGAGTTCTTTCTCTTGTTCCGCTGTTAATAGGGGGTGGCGGTTGATGTCACTCAGGTAGACCTGCAGCGACGACTTCACGCCAGAATTAGACGAACGCATTGTTTTACTCACTTTCCTACCCATCCTTTCCGCGGCGAGCGCCGCCGGAAACGAGATGAGCTCTCACTCATCCCACTGTTCGTCATCGTACACGATCTGTTCCATCGGATAAAAGGGTTTTCCCCTCAACACGGGCATTTTCTTTGATTTTAACTGGCTCTAAATCCTTGCGGATTGGACCGTTTGGAGGGATTTCACAGTATTTTGGAAAAGTGATCGGCCTTTCTAGAATTTTATTGGCATCCCCCGATAATGGCTTCATACTCTCAAATTCGCCCCTCGCGAAGCTAGGATTTTGTGTGGAAAGAGACATCTCCAAACTGCTCGAAGAATGGCCATTTGTACCCGGACAGATCTCCGTTCGGCTCATTGAAGGACAGGATCACGAACCTCGGATCCAGGTCCGCCTCGATCTCGGATTCCTCCAGATGAAGATCGACGGGCGTCCAGACGGCCAGCGCCCCCACGACTGCGACTCCTACCTCGAATACCAAGAAAACCGGCTCCAGCAGATCTCCCAATCAGGTGATCCTGACTTCGCGCTCAGCGAGAGCAATGACGACGAGGACTCTGACGGCGAGATCCGCTTCCTCGATGCCGAGGACTGTCGACAACTCAGAGAAGAAGCACAGCAGTACTACCACCGTTACATCGCTCTGCTCGTACTCGAAGATTTCGAAAGCGTCGCTCGAGATACCTCTCGCAACCTCCGTGTGCTGGACATGTTCCGCGACCACGCGATTGACGAAGACGACCAACTCGCGATGGAGGGACACCGTCCCTATGTCATGATGATGCGTGCACGAGCCCTCGCGAGCCATGCGGTAAAGCACGAAGAGAACAAAGCCGCGATCAACGCGATCGATGATGGACTTGAATCGCTCCGTCTCTATTACCAATCTGCAGGTCAGGAAGAACTCTTCGACGAAGCGGGAGAGGTCGAGATGCTCCGCGAGATGCGTGACGGCTTGGTCCCCAAGCTCCCAGTCTCTCAGAAAGCCGAGCTCCGCCAAAGACTCGAAGCCGCGATCGTGTCAGAGAACTTCGAACTCGCCGCGATCCTCCGCGACGAACTCCGCATGCTCGGGAACTAGACACTATCAAACTCGGTCATTCCGAGTTCGCAGCTTCCGCTTCGCGTCTGCTCAATCTCGCGCGCTTGACCAGCACACTCAGCAGCGTCAGATCCGCTGGGGTCACGCCTTCAAGTCTCGACGCTTGTCCGAATGTCGAAGGTCTGTACTTCGACAACGCTGTGCGGGCTTCATTTCGGAGAGAATCCATTAACTCATACTCAATCCACTCTGGGATCGGTTTGTGCTCGATCTCGTTGTGTCTGCGGATCTCGATCTTCTGCCGCTCGATATACGGCTCGTACCGCTTCTGAGCGTGCAGCGTCTGATAGACCTCCGGATGCACATCGCTAAACTCCGCTTCCATCTGCGTTTGAATCGCATGCTTGAGATGCTCAACGCTGTAGTCAGACTCATGGATGCGATCCGCGATGGTCTTGCTGCCGTCCATCGTTGAATCCATGAGTGATCGTCCAAACTCGATCGCGGCAGATCTCGCAGCAAAGCGTTCCTTGCGGAGCAATCCAATTTCGTGATGATCCAGTAAACCAAGATCCATCGCGATCGGAGTCAACCGATCGGGCGCGTTGTCCGAACGAAGCATCAATCGATACTCCGCTCGGCTCGTAAACATCCGATACGGCTCGCGTGGTGTCTTGGTCACCAGATCATCCATCAACACACCGATGTATGCCTGCGAACGATCGAACGAAAACTCGCCCCCACCACTCGCTCGCAACGCCGCATTGATACCAGCGACCAATCCCTGCGCCGCGGCTTCTTCATATCCGCTCGTGCCGTTGATCTGCCCGGCAAGGTAGAACCCCTCGACCAATCGAGACTGCCCAGTCACATAGATCTGATGCGGACGCACCATGTCATACTCAACCGCGTATCCGTACTGCAGAATCTTCGCATGCTCACATCCCGGCATCGAGTGCACGATCGTGTCCTGCACATCATCGGGAAGACTCGTCGAGATCCCGTTGCAGTAGACCCAATCCGATTCATGGGATTCAGGTTCGAGATACACGCCGTGCTGATCACGCTCCGCGAAGCGTACCACCTTGTCCTCGATGCTCGGACAGTATCGTGGTCCTGCGGATCCGATCTGTCCAGTGAATATCGGCGCCCGATCGAGATTGGCGCGGATCGCATCATGTGATCCTGGTCCAGTCGTCGTCTGTCGGCAAGAAACCTGCTCAATCAGCGGGAACTGATCACATAGAATATCCCCGATCTCCCAACCATCACGCGTAAGCTCTGAGAACGGCATCGGCACTTCGTCACCATCCTGCACAGGAAGCGCGTCCCAATCGATCGAATGGATATCCAAACGAGGTGGAGTACCGGTTTTCAATCTCCCTAGTTCAAACCCAAGCGAACGCAATGCATCAGAAATCTTGTTCGTCGCGGCTTCTCCCACACGACCACCTTCAGTCGTGTCCTGACCTCGATGCATAATCCCGTGCATGAATGTGCCAGTGGTCAGGATCACCGAAGGAGCGTGCAACTCCTTTTCCCCACCGTCCTTGAGACCGATGCGTACTCCAGTCGCAACGAGGTTCGATTGTTCACCCTCAGTAAGGATTGCCTCGACACTGCCCTCTACGACGTCGATCTCTGGACGATATTTGATGAATCGCTGCGCGACGCGAGCGTACGCGTGCTTGTCTGATTGACAACGAGGGCCATGAACAGCGGCCCCTTTGGAAGTGTTCAGAAGTTTGAACTGAATCCCTGTCGCGTCCGCGACCAGACCCATCATCCCCCCCATCGCGTCAATCTCACGGACAAGCTGTCCCTTCGCAAGCCCCCCAATTGCTGGATTACAGCTCATAACGCCTATTTTCTGAGCATCCAGCGTGACCAAAGCGACGGAACTTTCAGCCCCGAGTGTGTTCGCAGCCGCCCACGCCGCTTCGATCCCGGCATGACCGCCCCCAACCACGATGACTTGATAGTTCGATTTCACGCCCAAACTGTAGTCTCACACAAATCTATCTTGGCATATCTCTCACAGTTTGATACACTAATGAACAATACCAAACAGACTCCCATTCATTGGAGATTGATGATGCCCCGATCCAAACGATTCTCTCGCCCATCCCTGATCGCGATTACGGCAGGCTCTGCTCTCGCGTGTCTGTCCAGCGCCTCGCTCGCTGATATCGTCGTCTTACGTGATGGAACAACCTATGAAGGCACCATCATCACCGAGAATCGCCGGACCATCGTGATCGAGACCGAGATCCATGGCATCAGCACACGCATGACGCTCAACGCTCGCGAAGTCCGCTCTGTGGAGCGTACACCGATCTCGGACACTCCCAAGGTCACCAATGATCAGCCAACCACCCTGAGCATCCCGAAGAGCAGCTCGAACGCAGCGACAGAGACCAAATCGCTTAAAAGAGAGGGATATCAGCTCCTGATGGAGATCCCGCTCTCAGGCACCTTCGGACAAGACATCTACCCACTCTCAGTCAAAAACTCCCTTGAATGGGCTGTAGAACAAGGCGTGACCGACATCGTCTTCCGCATCAACTCGCCAGGCGGGGAAGTATGGGCCGCTCAGGACATGGTCGCCGTCATGGAACGCTTCTCAGACGACCTGAACTATCACATGCTCATCGAACACGCGATCAGCGCCTCAATTTGGCCTTCATTCTGGTGTGAAACCATCACCATGGCACCAGGAGCGGATTTCGGAGGAGCCGTGGTCTATTCAACCAACTCGACCGGCTCAGCTGAAGTGGACAAGAAGATGACCTCCATCATGGCCTCAAAGCTCGGCTCAGCCGCTGAAGCCAACGGACACTCGCGCTACCTCGTCCAAGCCATGATGCTCTCAGAAGCCGAGGTCTACGCCTACAGAGAAAGGGGCGAATGGGTCCTGACAAACTCAAAGGATGGGCTCCCAAGAGGCTATGAGACCATCGATGGCCCGAACACAGTTCTTACGCTCACTACGACACAAGCCGCGAAATACGGCATCGTCAAAGAAAGCGAATCCAAGTCCCTCGAAGACTTTGCAAAGGCTCAGGGAATCGAGAAATGGGACTCAGCAGGCGACATGGGCACAGAGATCACGGATCGCGATACAAAGAAGTGCAAACGACTCCGCGATCGACTCAACGCAACCATCAACTCGTTCCAAACTGATATCGCTCAGTTTGGCAACAGCGAGTACATCACCTTTGCAGGCGCCTCTCTCCAGAGCGCCAAGAAGAACCTTGGACTCTACAAGCGCATCATGGCACAAGCAGAAGAGATGGAGATGCCATCGATCGTCGACGGGTACGAAAACGCGATCGATGTCGTCTACTGGGAACAACAGATCGAGGATTACCTCGCAGATCTCCGCCGTGTCCGCCGTCTGGGACCTTGATACTCCGAGACTTCTGATACCATCTCCGTGAGCAATATCATGCCCAACCCCAAACGGTGTTGGGTATTTCTTCTTGCTTCGAGCAGAGTACTTTTGTAGCTAGCCATCAATGAAAAGCCCCGTCACATGGACGGGGCTTTGTGTTATGGTGAGTATGTTTAATCCTCAGTTATGGAAGGACTGAACACTCAGGATTGATGATGTCTGGATTGCCAGCGGTCCCTACATCAGCTCCACCAAAGTCGATACCTTGGAGACCATTGCGAGTCCAGCGGTAACGCTGACAGTATTCAGCCTGGTCACCCAATCCACCCTTCGGCAATGGGAATGTGTCAAGCGGAACATATCTCTGAGTCCATGGCTGATCTGGATCTTCTGGATTCCAACCCGCGTTAGCACTTGAGGTCTCTTCCTGACGCACGGATCCATCGAAGAACGCGAGGTTCGCTTTCGCTTCAGGATATGCGAAGTAAAGACCTGATGGATCAGAGAATCGGTCGAACTCTTCGAACATCATGACCTTGCCTGATGGGTGAGCGACCTGAGTCATCTTGCGACGACCGAGTGTAGGGAACTGACCGGTCAAGCTGGTAAACAGGTGCGGCGTGGTGTCAATCGGAACATAGGTGTTTGTACGATTGATGCCGTCAGTGTTCCATGCTGCAGGAACCATTTGGTAGGTCGAAGCGAACGGCCAGAGTTGCTTGATAGCTGTTGGCGTCCAGTTCGGATCCATATCGTACCCTGCTTGGCTCGGTTGACCGTTCCCGTATGGGAATGAGTTGCCAGGCTCGAGGTACTCGAGTGGGTTTTCTTGCCAGTTGATGAGGTTCTTGTCGAACGGGGACGCCGCAATCGGTTCCGGCTGACGATCAGTCAGATAATCAAGAAGCACAAGGTGCGAGTAACGACGGTGCATGAGACGCTGCTGAGGAGCGATGAACGAACCCGTTCCTTTCAGACGACCGGTCGCACGCTGAAGAATGTTCTGCGCCTGCCAAGCTGCGGCGACGGTATCGCTCGGAGCAGGTGAAGGACGGATGTTACCGTTCTTCAGGTTGATGTAATACCCGCCTTGACGCCATGTGAAGCTGAAGATGCGGTCATCAGAATCGCCCGCGTAGTTTGCTGCACCAGTGTTGAGGGAGCGAGCGTTGGCCTGCGCCACAACATTCTGTGCCGATCGGCGTGCCTGTCCGAGCGCGGGCAGGAGGATGCCGATGAGAAGAGCGATGATCGCGATGACCACCAGTAGTTCAATCAGTGTAAATGCCTTGTTTCGTCTTGCCACGACGGCCTCCGTCTGCTTGAAGATTAAGGGCCAGTTCCCATGCAGGAGTGATCTCAATCTTGGTTGTTTCTTCACGCATCATGCGTGGTGTGTCATAGTCCCACATGCTCCATTCGCAAGCTGATCCGAATTGTTCCGTAAAATCGACCGAACACGATCAGTTAGCGGGTAGAGCGCGTTTCGTAGACAGGGTTCACAAGGGGTTCCACACGAACCCCCCAATGTCCTTGGGACTGTTATACAGATTTCACATAAAAATCGCAACCCTCAGACCGACTCAACGGTACAAATTCCACGAATTCAAGTCGATGTTAGGGTTTAGTACGCGTTTTTATGGACAAATCCACGCATGATCGTCATCAGCAGGATTCTGAAATCGAACCAGATCGACCAGTGCCGGATATAGAACAGATCGTACTGCAATCGCTTCCTCAAACTGGTGTTCCCACGGAGCCCGTTGACCTGCGCCCAGCCGGTCATCCCGGCTTTCACATGCTGACGGATCATGTAGCCGCGCCAGTCATCACGAAAGCGATCAATCAACTCAGGACGCTCAGGACGAGGACCCACGAGCGACATTTCCCCGATCAGTACATTGAATAGCTGCGGGATCTCATCCAGGCTCGTCTTCCGGAGCCAGCTACCGACACGCGTCACACGAGGGTCGTCAACCTGTGTCCACTTTGAATCGCATTCCGCGTTCGCATCCATCGTGCGAAACTTGTAAATCCAGAAGGTACCACCACCCAGACTCACACGCTTCTGCCGGAAGATGACTCCGCCCTTTGAAGTGCAGAGGATGATCAGTGCAATCACGATCATGATCGGCGCAAAGAGCACCAAACCGACCAACGACCCCACGATATCGACCAACCGCTTCAACATACCCCCCACTCCAGAGAGTGGGTTCTCGCGATAGCTCAAGATCGGCATCCCTTCCAGTTCGGACACCGCCATCGATTGGGGAAGATACTTCAATCGCACATCAGGAATCAGACGAACATCGATCGCGAATCGTTCAAGCCGCTGCAACAAGTGCGGAACTTTCGCGGCTTTCGCATTGGGCATCGCGAGATAAATCGCATCCACAGGATGCTGCTCCAGAATCGTCGCGAGCTGCTTTGTCCCTCCGAATACAGGCTTTCCGATGCACTCGTCTCGATTCGATTGCTCGTGATGACTAATGAAGTATGCAACACGGATACCAGTCCAGTCATTGCGTTCAAGCGTCTGCGCTGCAATTTGTCCAAGTCGACCAACCCCGAGGATCGCGACATGCCGAGTATTGCGTCCACGCCGACGAATCGCACGAAGCCCGAGCCGAACCATCACACGCTGGAGTGAAAGCAGAGTCGGGAGCAGAATGGTCAGCGTCAAGATCTGAAAACGGAATGGGACAGTAAAGATCTCAGTCGGGACGACCGGACCGACCGTCTGGACCTTGGGAGTCTGCAATCCGCCGATCACCCAGATCAAAGCGATCGCGATCACCATCGCGACAATCGAAGCCCGGAATACCTGTGTGATCTCACCCCACAACGCACGATCGCGCCGTGGACGATACAAACCGATCGCGTACATGGTGAACGCAAGTACCGGAACCACCAGGACAGTCAGAGATTCTTGGAGATACACACGAAATGTCTGATCAAATCCGCCATACCGTGCATGCCGAATCGCCCACGCACCTGCACACGCACCAATCGCGGAGACCGCATCGGTACACGCAAACAGAGTCACAAAGAGCTGATGTCGTTGCTTCAGCATTTCAAAGCCGCATATTCCTGAATGCGAGAGTCTGCGAGGAGTGGTCTGGTGAGCGCTCGAAACTCAGAATAGATCATTCAATGACACATTTCACGCGCTTAATCGTGATCGTGTCCCTCATGGTCATCGTGTGCGTGATCGTGCCCTTGGTGACCAGCCTCTTCAGCATTCTCCATCGACGATTCAGGTGCCGGCTCAGGACGATTCAGTCCTGCAAGATGGATATTAAAGACCAGCGTTGAGCCGCCTGGGATCTGTGCGCGAGGATTCCCTCCCGGACCATATCCGAGATCAGAAGGGATGATCAACTTGCGCCGTCCATCCATGCTCAGACCAACCATGCCTTCACCCCAACCTACGATCGCTCGATTCCCAGGAGGGAAACGGAACCCATAAGGCACTCCTCTGGAGTAGCTCGTATCGAAGATCGAACCATCAGTCAGGTAGCCGTAGTAATGCACCTGCATCTCGTCGCCTTCTTGAACGACCATGTCGGTCTGACTCGCAGGGTAATCCAGAATGATCAATCCATTCTCCTGCTCAGTCGCAACCACATACGGCTCTGTTTGGACGAACTGGTATGAAGAATCTTCCCCTGCACCCCAGACCACATTCCCCAGCGCATCGTAACCGCGATCCGCTGTGGAGAGCGTGGTTCCGTCGAAAGTGATCGAACTGGTCATCTCGACCGCCCCACCTACACCTGTAGGGTATGGATACGGCGTCGATCCACTAAATCCGGAACCGTTCGAATCGAGTTCAACATCGAGCGTCGCGATGAGTTGGTCCTTAGAAATCCCAATGAAGCGTTCTGGAACCGCGGTCATCCCATCGAGCAATCCGAGTGAATCCTCGGTAGCCGCGATGGTGTAGGTCCGCAATCGAACCTTCCCTTTGTACTCATAAAGCTGGAAGATCGCTTGTCGGAAAGGATCCCATGGTGAGTCCGAGACCGAGCTCTCGATGTACATGGTGTTCTCCATGCCTTCGATCTGTACCGGAGCAATGCTCATCATCATGTACTGATCAGTCGTGCCCCCACCCTCATTCTCGATGCTGCGGAATGGGGCATTGGTCACCCAAGTCCCAACAAGTTGCTCCGCGATCTGATCAATCGACGAGACGCTGACTTCGACTGAACGAGCCGAGAACTCCACAGCCTTCGTGGGAGTCGATCCCAGCACAGTGAGTGAAACCGACAATGCAATGATGAAACTGTTTCGCATGAGCGTTCTTCCTCCGAAATCGAGCTGCCATAAAGTACAGGCATTACTAGTCAAACTTCTGTCATTTATGCAGTATAGACGCGCCAGGTTCGTTCCTAACTCCAATGACTCAGCTTCTGAACCTGCTGAGGGCGATCTGAATCTCGGCGTTAAGAAATCCAAATGATCCTACGCCTGAACCTGGAAGCTGATTTCAGCGAAGAAGCTATTGATAATGAATGAATTAGACCGATTCTGCGTATTGATATATGATGAACATTGATAAACGCTCTCGCGTGGGGATAGTCAATGAAAGAGCCCGATCGCTCAAAGCATAGAATGGAACTGCTGCCGGGTGCTGACCCAGAGGCGGTCCGTGAGGCACTCCGCCCTGAACCCGAACCCGAACTTGAGTTTGATCCTGATGATCCAGGATCCGCTTGGCTCCTCGGAGATGATCCCGAAGCAGAGATCTCACGCATTTCCGATCACCGCAACGCGGTCAAGCGACAACTCAAAAGCGAGGGCGCCCAGTTCGTCTACGGGTTCCTCATACTCGCGATCTCGCTCGGTTCACTCGCGCTCGCCGTCACCATCCGCACGATGCCATTCTATATCGCAGCGGGTGTGCTGTGCCCCATCGGATTCTGGATGTTCCGCTCTCGTTGGAAACGCTGGCTCGGATCCGCGCCGTACTGCTATCAACTGCTGACCTCACTCGGAGAGGACGCGGAGAGTCTTAAAGCAGCGCACGAAGCGAAACAACGGCAGAAATATGTGAAAGCCGTTGGAGATCTTTACGAACACTCCCGTCCAGACGAGAAGTAGTGAACAAACGCTGACTACAAAAAAGCCCCTGCATTGAGCAGGGGCTTTACTTTGATAGAGTTCATACACCTTACGCGAGCTCTGGGAATCGTTCCTTGACGATGTTGACCAAGTCCTCAACATGCGATGCCGATTCGTCGAAGAGCTTCTGTTCTTCGTCAGTGAGCTTGAACTCGACGATCTTCTCGACGCCGTCCTTGCCGAGCAGCGCCGGGACACCGACGAACAGCCCCTTGTGTCCGAACTGACCATCGAGGTATGCCGCCGATGGGATGATCCGCTTCTTGTCCTTGATGATTGCTTCTGCCATCTGAATGGTGCCCAGCGCCGGAGCGTAGTAGGCGCTGGTTCCCATGAGCTTGACGATCTCGCCGCCGCCAACCTTGGCGCGCTCGACGCATGCCGTGATCTTGTCTTCTGGGAGCAGATCGGAAACCGGGATGCCGTGGACCGAAGTCAGACGAGGGAACGGCACCATGTCGTCACCGTGCCCACCAAGCAGCATCGCTTGGACGTCCTCAACCGAGACACCCAGTTCCCACGCGATGAACGCACGATAGCGAGCACAGTCCAGCGCGCCCGCTTGACCAACGATGCGGTTGGTTGGGAAGCCCGTCGCCTTCCACGCGGTGTAGACCATCGCGTCGAGCGGATTGGACACGAGGATCACGATCGAGTCCGGAGCGTGCTCCTTGATGTTCTCCGAGACCTGCTTGACGATCTTCACATTGACCTCAATCAGATCGTCCCGGCTCATCCCAGGCTTGCGAGGCATACCAGCGGTCACGATGACCACGTCCGATCCCGCGATGTCCTTGTAGTCAAAGGTACCAGTCAGGTTCGAATCAAACCCATCGATCGGAGCACAGCAACCAAGATCAATCATCTTGCCCTTGGGCATGTGCTGATCCGGCGCATCGGCGCGAGGGATGTCGAGGAGGACGATGTCCCCGAGTTCTTTCTGAGCGGCCCAGTGGGCGCAGGTCGCGCCGACATTACCGGCGCCGATGATGGAAATCTTTGCTCGTTTGGTTGCCATTGAAACGGTGTCCTTTCCGTGTGAATTCGAGTCAACTAGCCGTCAAACGCATCCTAGACACCGCTGAGCGAGGGTCTAGTTTTCCGCCTCGTCCGCCGCGATAGTTGACCACTTTACCTCGATCGGATCCATCGGCTTGCCCGATTTGGGTGGAAGCGACACGGAGCACACCTCGCCCCCCACCACCACAGGAACCAGCAACGGCTGCCCCGCCGGGAGATCCCCAGTCACCGGCGCGACCAAATCGTGCATCGAGCCGGAAAGGAAGTCCATCTGCCGATACACCTGATGGAGCGGACGCATGATCTCGGGACGCTCCACCTTCCCGGTGCAAGTCTCGAGGAAACCGTCGACAAACTCCACCACCTGCTCGTCCGGCATCCCCCCCGACTGGTCCCGGCACCACGCGACCGGCACATCCTTGAACATCTCGACTCCAGGCGCCGCGACGAAGATCTCCCCCATAAACCCCGCTTCTCGCATCGCAAGACCGATCTCGCCGGGATGCCGAGTGGTGAACCGCTCGGATTTGCAGCGCCAGACGACCCCCTCATGAAGCGAATCCTCCCACGCGGATTTCGCGTCCTCGATCAGTTCCATCAGAGATTCGGGCATTGGTTCGGCGGCCCACGCCGAGTTGATCTCCCCGGCGTGCTGCTTGATCCCGATCTCCGCTTTGTCCATCGCGAGCGGGCGTTCGCTCGGATCAATCTTGTGAAGCTCCCCAAGCGCCATCGCGATCGCATGCAGCCCAATCGACGGCGCGACGCACGCACGCCAGCGATCACCCTCCACATCGTCAGGGAGCGCCAACGCGCCCTGCGCGAACTGCACCCAGCCTGCTAAAAGCGAAGCCCACGTCGTCGAATCGGTTCTGTCTGTATTACTCACGCTCGATCGTAGATCGCTGAGGTGATCCCATCCCGCGCGATCGCATGACAATCAACACCACCAGCCCAACGCTCAGTACACGAACACCCGTCGCCCCCCATCCTCCCAGCGGAGTGCTGTTCATCTCGAACATATCCCACCACAGATTCATCCCGGCATGCAACGCGATCACGATCCACAGGTTCCATCGCGACAACCAGTAGATCCACGCGTACATCATCCCCCCCACCCCGATCATCGCGATCCAGAACCCGAGCTGCCCGATGATCGTCTGCCCCTCGTCCGGAGTGATGTCCACATGCGCCAAACCAAACACCGCCCCCGTCAAGATCGCCGTCGGCCACATCGGACACCGCGCCACCTGCACGAGCAATCCAAACATGAATGCCCTGTAGAAAATCTCCTCCGTCAATCCAGGAGAGATCGATCCATACAAAACCCCGTATCTCGTAACAGAAAACGAATCGCTCCAGAGCCCAAGCAACAACATCGGGAGCGTGCATCCGAACCCGATCGCAGCCCCCTTGATCGTACGCGCCCAGCCCACACCCAGTCCCATCGTCGGCTCGTCATTCCCCCGAGACATGCGAAATACAATGAGCACCCCGATCAGCACGATCAGCATCCGTAGAGCCGGATGCACCAGAAACTGGACATCGATCGGAAGCGACCAAATGAAGTTTCGGTATCCCTCGATCATCCACAGCAGCTTGAACCCAAGCACCCCCACGGCAGAAATCACCGCGATCACCGAGACAACATCCCAACGGATGGACTGATCCTGTTCAGTGTGTTCATGCATGCTGTGTCACCATACCAGAGTTGGGATGAGCGGTTCGCTCATTTCAACAAGAAACCCCCGGGCCGTGGTGGGCTTGCCCGGGGGTAAGGGTGAATCCGGGCTGGAGGCAGGGGATGCCCGGGATTCACATGTCTCTGGGAGAGAGACAAGCTTGGTGGTTCACGGCTGACAACCCGCGACGGTCAGAGAGTGCGAGTTCATCAGCTCATTCCGGCTTCAACTACTCCGTGGCTCCAAAGAGCCGTCCGTCTGCCGGGGTTCGGGTGCCGATCTCTCCGTGACCTGCACCCGCAGCATTCATTCCATTCGATTGCTGACCATCCCTATCTGAATGCGACCAGTCATCCTGACCGTCGCGAGTTATCAACCGTGAACCGGGCGCAAACACAGCCCTTGATTTCATTTCCTAAACAAATCCTGCTTAGCTGCAGCCCATCGAAGCACCGCAGTTGAGGCACTTGTAGCACGTCCCGCTACGAACCGTGATCGTGCCGCACACATCGCAAGGCGGAGCGTCACCCGCAGCATCAAGCGCCATCGAGAGCGTCGCGCTGCGTGCATCAACCTGAGTCCCATCGCTCGTCTTCGCGGTGACCTGAGTCTCCTTCAGTTCAGCTTTGATGAGCTTGGGCTCAGGCTTGCTTTCCTTCGCCTTGGGTTCGATCTCCTGGACCGGGATTCGACGGACGACCGGATCGGGTTTGTCCGCTTGTTCCTTAGGTTCCGGAGTCGAGCGTGCCGGCATGTTCGCCTCGCGATAGCCGTCGATGAACTCCATCCCGAGCCAGCGGAAGATGTAATCCACGAGCGACTTGGCAAACGGGATATCCCGATTCGTCGTCATTCCCGCTGGTTCAAACCGCTGATGCGTGAACTTGCGGACGAGCGACTCGAGCGGAACGCCGTACTGCAGCGCGACCGAGGTCGAGGTCCCGAGCGAATCCATGAGCCCGCCAATCGTCGAGCCCTCCTTCGCCATCGTGATGAACAACTCGCCCGGCTTCCCGTCCTCGTAGCACCCAACAGTCAGATACCCCTCGTGACCAGCGATGTTGAACTTGTGCGTCAGCGATCTCCGTGTCTCCGGAAGACGACGACGCATCGGACGATGCACGATCTCGACCTCCTTCTTCACCACCACACGCACATTCTCATCACCCGCGGCTTCCGCGAGCTCCGCGACATCCGTCGCGATCTCGTCGAGCGCCGCCGCGTGATCGAGATCATCAATCACGATGTCCTCGTCAAGCTCGGTCTCCGTATCGCTCTTGGCATTGAGCGGCTGGCTCAGCTTGCATCCATCGCGGTACAGCGCGTTCGCCTTGAGACCAAGCTCCCACGACAAGCGATACGCGTCCTGAATATCAGTCACCGTCGCGTCGTGAGGCAGGTTGATCGTCTTGGAAATCGCTCCTGAGATGAACGGCTGCGCCGCCGCCATCATGCGGATGTGACCACCCGCCGAGATCGAACGCGTGCCCTTCGCACCACAGGTGCTCGCACAATCGAACACCGCGAGGTGCTCGTCCTTGAGGTGCGGAGCGCCCTCGATGGTCTGCGTGCCGCAGACCAGCTCGTTGAGCTCTGCGATCTGCTTAGTGGTCAGACCAAGGAACTTGAGTGCGTTGAAGCTCGGATCCGCCTTCGCATCTTCTGGATTCGCTCCGAGACGACGCAGCGTGTCATCACCCAGCGACCAGGCACTGAACGCAAACCCGATCTCAAACACGCTCGGGAGCGCATCGGTGATCTTCTGCAGATCGTCATCATCGAGACCGTGATCACTCAACCACGCCGCGAGCGAGACGCCCACGCTGTCCTCGATATCCGAAGGCATCGGGACATGAAGGTTCAGCGTACCCAGGATGTACTGGATCATTTCCCGGCGTTCAACCTCGTCATATCCCAGCGCCTCAAGCGCCGGATCGATCGAAGCGTTCGCGATCTTGAAGTACCCGCCGCCCGCGAGCTTCTTGAACTTCACCAGCGCGAAGTCCGGCTCAACACCGGTCGTATCGCAATCCATCAGCAGACCAATGGTCCCTGTCGGCGCGATGACCGTCGTCTGTGCGTTGCGGTAGCCGTACAGCTCACCGAGATCCAGCGCGTCGTCCCATGCGGTCGTCGCGTGGTGCAGCAGCTCCATCGCGTTCCCCAGTGGCACCCCATGATCGCGGATCAGGTCGTGATCGATCGGGACCGGAGCGATGCGGAGCTCTTCGTACTCCCCGCTGTCCCGCGCCACACCCATCGCGGCGCGACGGTGGTTGCGCATCACACGCAGCATGTTGTCACGCTCTGGTTCGTATCCAGGGAACGCCCCGTGCTCACGCGCCATCATCGCGGACATTCTGTACGAACGACCAGTCAGGATCGCGGTCAAGCAACCACAGATCGCCGTGCCCGCTTCTGAGTCGTACGGGATCCCCGCTTGCATCAGCATCGCGCCGAGGTTCGCGTACCCCAGACCCGTCGTGCGGTAGGTGTAGCTCAGCTCAGCGATCTCCTTCGATGGGAACGCGGCCATCAGGACCGAGATCTCAAGCACCATCGTCCACAGATCAACGCCGTGCTCGAAACGCTCGATGTCAAACTCGCGTGTCTTCGCGTCGTAGAACTTCATCACATTGAGCGAAGCGAGGTTGCACGCCGTGTTGTCGAGGAACATGTACTCGCTACACGGATTCGACGCGTTGATCATCCCCGCATTCGGACAGGTGTGCCACGCATTAATAGTGGTATCGTACTGAACCCCAGGGTCCGCACAGCGCCACGCGGCATACGCGACATCGTCCCAGAGCTTGCGTGCATCGACAGTGCTCGCGGTCTCGCCGGTCGTGCGGTAGGTAGTCTTCCACTCATCTCCAGCATCGACGGCATCGAAGAACGAGTCCGGGATACGCACGGAGTTGTTCGAGTTCTGACCCGCGACCGTGCCGTACGCCTCTCCATTAAAATCGTAATCAAGCTTGAGACCAAGACGCTCAGCCGTCTCGCCGACGGTTTCTGAGTCCAAGTCCGATGCCTTCTCGTTCTGGATCGCTTTGAGACCCTCGACCAGCGCCGCGACCTTGATCTCCTCGCGGACCTTCCAGTTGACGAAGGACTCGATATCAGGGTGGTCCATATCCAGACACACCATCTTCGCGGCGCGGCGCGTCGTCCCGCCGCTCTTGATCGCGCCCGCGGCACGATCACCGATCTTCAGCCACGACATCAGACCCGACGACTTGCCACCCCCTGAGAGCAGCTCGTTCTCAGCGCGGAGGTTGGAGAAGTTGGTGCCCGTTCCCGAGCCGTACTTGAACAGACGCGCCTCGCGCATCCACAGGTCCATGATCCCGCCATCATTGACGAGCGAGTCATCGATCGACTGGATAAAGCACGCGTGCGGCTGCGGGTGCGTGTACGCATCATCCGCGAGTTCCGGAAGTCCAGTCTCGGGATTGACAACCCAGTGACCTTGTGCAGGACCGCTGATGCCGTACGCCCAGTTGAGTCCAGTGTTGAACCACTGAGGAGAGTTGGGTGCGCACATCTGGTGGACCAGCATGTACACCAGTTCGTCGTAGAACGCCTGCGCGTCGTCGCTGCTGTCAAAGTAGTTGTGCGTCTCGCCCCAGTGACGCCAGCATCCCGCAAGACGATGGATCACCTGACGCGCCGAGCGTTCTGGTCCCATCGTGACCGAGCCGTCCTCATCGCGGAGCTGCTCGCTCTGACCTGGGAGCGCGAACTTCTCTTCAAGCTGAGGCACACCCGCTTTGCGGAAGTACTTCGACACCATGATGTCGGTCGCGAGCTGCGAGAACCCAACCGGGACCTCAGCATCAGGCATCTCAAAGACAATCGAACCGTCCGGGTTCGTGATCCGACTCGCTCGCGTGGTCCACTCCGTGGATGCAAACGGGTCAATACCTTCCTTGGTGAATCTGCGGGTTATTTTCATTTGCCTCAACCTAACTAAAGAAAAGTGTTACGGAAATATTTGAGATGTTCAGACTGAACGAATGCCTGAGATGGACGCTTTATGTCGCAGACCAAACTGCAAACTCATTGCCACACGGCTCAGCGAAGTGGAATCGTCTTCCCCCTGGAAACGAAAAAATTGGTTTCACAATGTCTGCTCCAGCTTTCTTGAGCTCACTTTCCGTTTGCTCAAGATCGTCGCTGTAGAACACAACGAGCGATGCACCTGATTCAGCCCTTGAAAATTTGTCTGATCGGTAGAATCCGCCATCCAGACCTTGGCCTTCAAACGCTGTGTAATCTGGACCAAAATCTTCAAACGACCAAGCGAAAGCTTTCGTAAAGAAAGATTTTGTGAGTTCTAAATCCCGAGATGGAAACTCAACATAGTTTATTTTATGGTGAACATTCATCTGTTAATCAACCCTCGGCAATGTCAACCCACCCTGATCCTGATACTTCCCGGCCTTATCCGCATAACTCTGAGCGCACACCTCGTCGCCCTTGAGGAACACGAACTGCGCGATCCCCTCGTTCGCGTAGACCTTTGCGGGAAGCGGGGTCGTGTTGGAGATCTCGAGCGTCACCTTGCCGCGCCACTCTGGTTCCAGCGGCGTGACATTCACGATCAATCCGCAGCGTGCGTATGTGGACTTGCCAACACACAACACAAGGATGTCACGAGGGATATCGAACCACTCCACAGTCTCGCAAAGCGCGAAGCTGTTGGGAGGAATGATCACATGGTCCGTCCCACGCTCGGCGGTATCGACGCGCACCATGAAGTCGTCAGTGAATGCTTTGGGATCAACGACCGCAACACCACCAGAAGGCGGCGTCGGGGTGAAGATTTTGAACTCGGTCCCGACGCGGACGTCGTAGCCGTAGGAAGACACGCCGTAGGAGATCGTGCCCTCACGCTTGATGGCGCGCTCGAAGGGTTTGATGTCCACGAGTTTTTCGATCTGTGTATCGCAAAGGACTGGCATAACGCTCTGCTCCGTCTTGTCTGTCGAAACTGAATCAGTCTCACTGAATCAATCTCGATGGGACTTCCGATGTCCCGGCCTCCGAAAGTGTCCCTGAGCCGCGTGTCCACACACGAACCAAGAACGAGATGACGCACGACAACCCTTCGCGGCTAGGGAATCATCCCTAACCACTCAAGCGTGGTGCATGTTTTCCAGGTGCCCCGGAACGAAGGGGACGCCTCACTGGTTGAGCGTGCAAATCCCTGGTTGCCCACCGGGACGCTGCGTGCTCTGTGCCGTCTTCGCGATTGGTCGAAAGAGAATCGAGCGACCTTCACAAAAACAGAAACTGAATATTTTCCAAACTTCCGTGAGCGTGCTGCCGAGTCGTGTTCAGATTGGGTTCAACTTCAAAGATCCGTCGGATGTGGGTCCTGTGGATATCCTGTCGGTTGATTCCAAGTCCTCTCCAGTTCTCGACTTCCCACGATGGAAATCTTCAATTTTTCCTGTAACACCCCAATATATCGAGTGCGACGGGCCTTGATGATAGCGACCCACAAGGTATTGTGGAACCACTTTGGAGCGAAATCGGACAAAAAACTGATTTCATCGCACATCTTCACATTCCGCATCATCGAAACAGTTGCAGAGGATCAAGACCAAAGCCATGCCATCTCAAACGCTTATCGCTTTGCACTCTGATGATGCGGAGAATCCAGATAAAGTACATCTCCCGAACAAAGATTTTAAGTGCTTCATCGCCGCGCATTGAAGTTTTCCACATGCACACGCGTCTGATTGCTTGAATACGGATCAGAATTCTTCGCTGCTCAATTTCAGAGCGCTGCATACACTCTGCAGTGAGGTGCGTATAGAAGCTAACACCACGGGACATCGCGCGTCTCTATGACACACCAAACCACCCAACGGCGCGCACGCAAGTCGTCACACCGCAACGCACTAGCAACCAGACAAGGGACATCCATTGAGCCTGCAAAAACCGATCATTGATCGCCTCTCTTTCATCACCCGAATCGCGTTGCCTGTCTGCATCGCGGCGTTCGTCATGTCAAGCACGCTCATGCCGGGATGCGGACGATTCAGAAAGAAACAACCAGTCCCCAAAGCACGCATCTCTACACCGCAGGTTGAACGACAAATCCCATCTGTACTGCGCGGAACCGTTGGCGCCGAAGCGCGCATCCTCGGAAACAACCCAACACTCGTCTCAGGGATTGGCTTCGTCGTCGGCCTGGAAGGCACTGGCGGGCTCACGATGCCCGAGCAGTACGCCGCACACCTCGAACGCATGATGGGACTCAGCGGCGTCAGCGTCGCGAACGACAACCCTCAGTCGCCGCTCTACGGCAAAAGCCCTCGCGAACTCCTTCAAGACCCAAACACAGCAGCCGTCATCGTCCAAGCCGCCGTCCCTCCAGGATCAAGCAGCGGAGACAGCTTCGATGTCTATGTCCGAGCGATTAATGCGACCAGTCTCGAAGGTGGCAAACTCTGGACCACCGAACTCCGTGTCGGACCACCAGCATCATTCAACGACAAGCAAGCACATGTACTGGGTAAGGCAAAGGGACCGATCTTCCTCAACCCATTCGCGGAACCAGGCGTCCAGATGGGTGGGATCTCTCGCAACATCGGACGCGTCCTCGACGGCGGATACACCACCGGCGATACCGAGATTCAGATCATCCTCGACAACCCATCACACCAACGCGTACGCCAGATGGTGAGCTCGATCAACTCCGCATTCCCAGCGGATCGCATCGACCGATTCAAAACCGCGCGAGGCGTCGATGAATCCTTAATCGTTGTCCAGATCCCATCACGCTATCAAGATCGTCGCGACGACTTCCTCCAGCTCACCTCACACCTCACCATCGATCCGTCATTCCCAGAGGTCTACGCGCAGCGTTACGCCGAAGCACTGAAAACCGATGCTTACCTCGCCAACGACATGTCGTGGTGTTTGGAAGCACTCGGAGAACGAGCACTCAATGCAATCCGTCCTCTGTATGACCACCCAGAAGCAGCGCCCCGACTCGCCGCACTCCGCGCCGGCGCGGGATTGCGAGATCCAATGAGTGTCGATGCACTCTCCAAGATCGCACGCGAGGGTCCCGAGAGCTTGAGGACAGACGCGATCGCGCTGCTCGCACGCGTTGAAGACTCACTGATCCCTGACAAGGTCTTGCGTGAGTTGCTCGAATCTGACCGACTCAATGTCCGTGTCGAAGCCTACGAGGGGCTCATGGATCGCGCCATTAGCGCACGCAAGCGTCAGATCGCACGCAGCCTTAGTAATCGAGAACGAGGGGGCGTAGGACTCGACCAACAAATCGATGTCCTCGCACGAGTCCAGCTCCCCGCAGATCCAGTCCGTGGGGTATCGAGAAAACTCGTCGCCGGCAAGTTCTTCCTCGACACCGTCCCATTCGGCGATCCATTGATCTATGTCACTCAACACAAAGAACCACGCATCGTGCTCTTTGGCGCGGATCAGTTTGTGCATACACCATTGCTCGCGACTGCATGGTCTGATCGACTGATGCTCGCTTCGGACAGCGCTGGCGACCCGATCCGCCTGTACTACCGTGATGACAAGAAACGCCGAACCTATACCCACTCCGATGTCCCGGATGATCTTCCATCACTTGTCGAGTTCCTCGCAACCGAACCCACACCAGGTTCAGTCAATCGAGGCTTAGGACTCTCCTATTCAGGAGTCGTCGGTGCGCTCTACGAGATGTACCAAGAACTCGGGATCGTTGCCGGATTCACGACTGAAGAAGACCAACTGCTCGCGGATCTGCTCGCATCCACAGAGCAACCAGACATTGAGATCCGACCAGAAGGTCCTGAAGATTCCATCACGATGGTCCCAGTAAACGATCCGCGTCAGCAGGTCGTCGATCGCGAGAACTCGCCGGTTACCAGACGCCGTTCATTGCTCGTTCCGGTCAATCCTCCTGCTCCACCAGCACAAGAACCACCAGAAGGCTCACTTCTCCAGCCTGTCAACAACGGCTCTTCAGAACCTGTCGAGCAACGCGCCGAGTAAGCAACTCCTACCGCATCGATTCCGCTTCTTCCACCAGTTGTTCGATGCGAGCTTGTAGGTGTGCGATCGCGTAATCGGGACCAGACTCGAGCAGCGCATCCGATTGCATCGGTTCGCCGTACACAACCGCGACCGGGCGTGTGATGAGTCTGGGCAACTTGCGATGCCGAGGCCAAACATCGAAGACTCCCGCGATCCCCACTGGGACCACCACACAGTGAGCCCGCTTAAGCAGCACAGAGATTCCACGCTCAAACTTTTGAACCGATCCATCTGGAGTGCGTGAACCTTCTGGAAACACCACGACCGCTTTGCCCTCGTTCAATCGCTTGATGATCTCTTTGATCGCGCCTGTATCGCCCGCACCCTGTTTGATCGGAGTCGCATTGAGCTTGGTGATGATCCACGCGAACGGCTTGAACTTGAACAACCCGCCGCGAGCGAGGAAATCCGTATCTCGCGTCGTCAAACACCCACCAATCAACGGCGGATCCAGAAACGACTGATGATTCGCGACCAAGAGCACACCACCGCTCCTGGGAACTCGAGATATACCGCGATGACGAACGCGATATACCACAATGAACACAAAGTGCACAATCCCACGGCACAGGTTAAAGAACGCGATGTGCAGCAGTGATGATCCCGGATGCTTGGATCTGAATCGAGCAAGCATCCTACGAATCAAGCTCCGGCAGATCCTGAACACGCGCCATCACATGCTTGGCCATCAGATCCACCACCTCTTCGATATCCATTGCTGAGGTATCGATCCGGATCGCATCATCGGGACAAACCAACGGCCCATCCGCACGCGTCGAGTCCATCTCATCCCGCTGGATGATCCGATCACACATCGTCTCGAGCGACATCGTCTGCGGATCAATCCCGAGCTGATCAATTCGTCGCTGAGCGCGAATCATCGGTTCTGCATCAAGATAGAACTTGACCGGAGCATCGGGGAACGCAACCGATCCCTGATCGCGCCCCTCAGTGACCAGATGAGGATGCTGAGCAAAGATGATCCGCTGCTTCCGGACCATGTGCTGTCGAAGCTCCGAAAGCGTTGCAACATACGAAACGAGATCAGTCACCTCTTGCGAACGGATTCGATGATCAATCGGATTGTCCCATGCAAGAATCGTCGGAGGGTCCTGTGACCAATCAAAGTGAAGATCGGCACCGATGACTTCACTCACCAGTTCCCCAACCTGATCCTTATCGAACTTCTTGTCAATCATGATCGCGGCCGCGGCGCGATACATCGCACCAGTATCAAGAAAGTCCAATCCCAGCTTAGCCGCGAGCATCCGCGCCACCGTCGATTTCCCCGTCCCTGCGGGACCATCGATGGTGATGATGATGGGTCGATTGGCTGGCACTGGAGTCGATTTCCCGATCGTATTGACTGATATCTTGACGGCGGGCGAGGTCTGGGTCTTTGTTGCCTGCGTACTCACGAGAGGTCCTCTTTCGGAGGTCATAGCGATTCAAACGGACTGGGGGACACCCGATCATACCATAGACGATTTACTCCTTGAGTGCAGCGAGCGCCTCTTCAATCGCTTCTTTGGTGTGCATTACGCCGAGTGTTTCGTCCCCATCCCCCTGATAATCGATCGAGATCGTCCCATCGAAGCCCACCGCCGCGATCGCTCCGACCAGTTGAGGAAGGTCGTATCCCTCATGGACAGGGACCGGATCATCCTCCATCAGCATCCCTTCGAGCTCAGCCGCGAGTGCATCCAAGCCGCTCAGCCCCTCATCCGCTTCGTCCTCTTCTTCAGCCTTCTTCGATCCAGATTCCGATTCTGGGATCGTGAACCCCAATGTCGAAGCATTGACCACAGATGCATACGGCGTGAGTTTCTTCAGGTACGACACCCCATCACCGGTCTTTGCAGCAGTATCAAAGTCAGGCATCGTTCCAATCCGGAAACCACCAATCCCTTTGAGCAAATCAGTCAAGCGTTCCGTGTCTTCAGTCAATCCAGCTGTTGGCGCAATGAGCACATTGATCTCAGCACGATCCGCGGCTTGCAGCACATGCTTCATACTCTCAACCGCTTGTTCAAACGCCTCATCAGAATCCTTGGACTTGATCCCGACCGAAACCGCATTGCAACCCATCAGTGACGCCGCCTTGACGACCCGCGTCATTCGTTCTACCGCTTCAAGTGCGACATCACCCTTGACTTCACCAAGCGGGAGCGGCTCAGACTGACTGAGCAGCAAACACGAACATCCGACACGATCTCCTGTGTCGCGGATCTTCTCAAGGTCTTTTGGAGTGAGTCCCGCGAGTTGATCCGTTGAGAAGTTGATCGCACGCAATCCGAACTGATCCATCGTGTACTTCGGAAGATCTGCAGGCGAGATCGCACGCGCTCCCTTTCGTTTCAGGACAGTACGGATGGAGTTGGTATTGAGCGAAAACATCATGCGGACGCACTCTAGGACAGCGATTTCGTCCTGTGTGGATCTACTTGATTCGTTTGATGATTCGTTGCGTGCTTATTGCTCGTCAACATATTCCCAGACAGTCACAGGAACCTGACGCACACCCCATTGACGCGCCATGTTGTGAGTCGGATAGAGCAGATCGAGGCGATTGCCCTTGATCGCTCCGCCGCAGTCAAGCACCGGGACGATCTCAGATCCCGCGTATCCAGGAACCGAAACCATCGACCAGTATGGAAGCACCTTCGGATCCGCAGCGACAAGTTTCATGCCATTGGTCCAGACCGATTTCATGATCGCGGTCTTCCCATCCGCAAACTCACCACACGAGCGTGCATCTGGAGAGTATCCCGTCACAGTCATATAGATGACGCGAGCAGGACGCACCAGCTTGCCATCGAAGTATCGATACGTCGGATCAATGATTTCTTCCTCGACGAGTTCTTCGCTCTGAACCCGCTGGGGTTCAACGACTTCGACGATTGGAGTTTCAACAGCCGCTGCTTCGGTAATCTCCACAACTGGAGTCTGCACCTGCTCAACCTGCTTTGGTTGCTCAAGTCCAACCAACGCCGGCAGTGCTCCAGTCGTCTTGGTCCAGATTGCACTCGAAACGACGAGCGACAGAGCCACGAGCCAGAGCACACCATCGAACACACCCATCGCGCGAGCTCGACTGCGAATATTGATGACCGGGATGGAGTTGGGTTTCTTCATGGAGCGTGTGCACGCAAGCGTGCGCGTTTCAGCCGACCGTGGCTCGTAGATCTGGTTGCCAAGGCGCTCCATGCCTTGGGTGCAATGGTATCCCGTGAATCCACAAAGGTGTACGACTCCTGAGAGTTCGGATTGGATTCTCGAAAGCAACTTATACGGGACCGATATTCTTCGACTTCATGCTTCAAAATCCAGTTCCCACACAACTGGGGTGGGTTTTGATCGGGTATACGGATAAAGTCCCACAACATGAGCAGATTCGACAATCCCAACTCAACTCCGAGCAGTTTCCGCTCCAAACTAGGCTCCTACGTGACCGGCCTAGCGATCGGATTCCTCCTCCTCGGATTCTTCATGCTCCAGAAGCATCGCAGCGAGCAACGCGCCGCATCGCAGCAACAGATCAACCAATCCATCCCGGAATCATCACCGTGACCCCTGCCGTGAAGAAAGCGACCAAGAAGACTGGTCCAAAGAAAGCCGGGTCAAAGAAAGCAACCAAAAAGGTGTCCAAGAAGAAGCCTTCCTCGAAGTCAACATCGATGGCTGCATCGACCAAGATTTCCACAGACCCCAGCAAGCACATCCGCATCCGCGGCGCCAAAGAGCACAACCTCAAGTCGCTCGACATCGATATCCCGCGCGATCAGCTCGTCATCATCACCGGATTGTCCGGATCAGGAAAGTCCTCCCTCGCGTTCGACACGATCTTCGCCGAGGGTCAACGCAAATACATGGAGTCGCTCTCTGCGTACGCGCGTCAGTTCCTCGATCAGCTCAAAAAACCAGATATCGAAGAGATCGAGGGCATCCCCCCCACCATCGCGATCGAGCAGCGCAGCGCCTCGCACAACCCACGCTCGACCGTCGCGACCACCACCGAAATCTACGACTACCTCCGCCTGCTCTTCGCACGCTGCGGCACCCCGCGCTCCTGGGCGCCCACCAAAACCAAAAAAGATGGCACCGTCACCGCTCGATCAGGCAAACCCATCGAGTCCTCCTCCGCGACCCAGATCGTTGATCATGTCATGGACTTCGGAGAGGGCACCAGACTCATGGTCCTCGCTCCAGTCGTCCGCGCCAAGAAAGGCTTCCACAAGGACACCCTCGAAGACTTCGTCAAGCACGGCTGGATGCGCGCCCGAGTCAACGGCGACCTCGTCGACCTCCGAGAAACCCTCAAAGAAGACAACGAGAACCCACTCAAGCTCCATCGACACAAAAGACACACCATTGAAGCGGTCGTCGATCGCATCGTCATCAAACCCGACGCTCGTCAGCGTCTCGTCGAATCCATCGAAGCAGCGCTGCGCCTCGCCGAGGGCTCCGTCCTGATCTCCATCAACGACGCGGAGAATCGCGACCTGTGGACCGACCATGCGTTCAGTGAGCACTTCGCGGACCCCGACCATCCCGAGATCTCCCTCTCAGAGCTCTCGCCCCGTCTTTTCTCGTTCAACTCCCCCTTCGGCGCGTGTCCAGAGTGTCACGGACTCGGAGTGATCCTCGAGTTCGCGGAAGACCTCGTCGTTCCCAACAAGGATGTCGCGATCCTCAACAACGCGATCCAGCCTTGGAAGAAGAACGGCCCAGGCGCGATGATCTACCCACGCATGCTCCGCAAGTTCTGCAGAGCGTTCGAGATCCCGCAGTCCATGCACCTCTCCGCGATGTCCGACGACCTCTACAACCTCCTCATGCACGGCACCGACTACGCCAACGCACACCTCAAAGGCAAAACCAAATACCGCAAGCAATGGGACGGCGTCTTCCCGATGCTCCACGCGTGGTTCCACAAAACCGAATCCAGCTGGGTCAAAGACCACCTCCACCAGTACCAGCAGGAAGTCACCTGCCACAGCTGCTGCGGCGATCGACTCAAAACCGCATCCCTCCACGTCACCGTCGAATCTTCGCACAAAGCAGACATGACCAAAGCGGGATCCGAAACCGTCATCGGACGCCCCACAAGCGACGGCTCCATCCTCAACATCTCCGAACTCGCGCGACTCAACATCACCGACGCGATCCTCTACATCAAGGGACTCAAGCTCTCAAAGGAACACGCCCACATCGCTGAAGCGATCCTCCGCGAGATCATCAACCGACTCCAGTTCCTCGAATCCGTCGGACTCGAATACCTCTCCCTCGATCGGCGCACCGCGACCCTCTCCGGCGGAGAAGCACAACGCATCCGACTCGCAACCCAGGTCGGTTCCGGACTCGTCGGCGCGTGCTATGTCCTCGATGAACCCACCATCGGTCTCCACCAACGCGACAACGACCGACTCATCCGCACGCTCCGTCACCTCACGGACATCGGGAACACCGTGCTCGTCGTTGAGCACGACGAGGACACGATCCGAGCCGCGGACCACATCGTGGACATCGGACCCGGTCCAGGCGTCCACGGCGGCACCGTCGTCGCGCAAGGTTCCATCAACGACATCATCAACACCAAGGGCTCACTCACCGGCGACTACCTCGCGGGACGCAAGAAGATCGAGGTACCCAAAGAACGCCGAGATCTGAATCCCAAGAAAGCGATGACCGTCAAGGGCGCTCGTCACAACAACCTCAAGAACATCGATGTGTCTTTCCCCATCGGAGGCATGGTCTGCGTCACCGGCGTCTCCGGATCGGGAAAGTCCACCCTCGTCAATCAGATCCTGCTACAGGTCGCCAAGAAGCAGATCATGGGATCCAAGACCAAGCCGGGTGAACACTCACGCGTGACTGGTCTCCAGCACATCGACCGCATCATCGAGGTCGATCAATCCCCGATCGGTCGCACGCCGCGCTCCAACCCCGCGACCTACACAGGGATCTTCGACGAGATCCGCAAGGTCTTCACCGCGACCAAAGAATCCAAAATCCGCGGATACAAGCCGGGACGATTCTCCTTCAATGTCGCGTCCAACAAAGGAGGCGGCCGCTGCGAAGCGTGCGCCGGACAAGGGACCAAGAAGATCGAGATGCACTTCCTCCCCGATGTCTTTGTCGAGTGCGAGGTCTGCAACGGAAAACGCTACAACCGCGAAACGCTCGAGGTCATGTACCGAGGCAAGAACATCGCCGATGTCCTCGCGATGACCGTCGAGGATTCGTGCGACTTCTTCGAGAATCATCCCAAGATCCTCCGCTTCACCGAATGCCTCCGCGATGTCGGACTCGGATACATCACGCTCGGACAACCCTCAACCACACTGTCAGGCGGCGAAGCCCAACGCGTCAAGCTCGCGACCGAGCTCGGCAAAGGCACCAAATACGACGGCACACAATCCAGCGAACACACCCTCTACATCCTCGACGAACCCACCACAGGACTCCACTTCGAGGACATCAACAAACTGATCAGCGTCCTCAACCGACTCGCCGACGCCGGGAACACGCTCATCGTCATCGAGCACAACCTCGATGTCATCAAATGCGCCGACTGGATCAACGACATGGGCCCCGAAGGCGGCGACAAAGGCGGCACCCTCCTCGCCTCGGGAACCCCAGAAGAAGTCGCGAAAGTCAAAGCGAGCTACACCGGCCAATACCTGAAAGGCATGCTGTGAGCGATGCCCAGCTCAAGCCTCAACCATCACCAAAGTTGGTCTTAAAATCACCAGCTACTTGGCATACTTTATGCCAACACGAAGACCATCCAGGGGCACCTGTGTATGTCCCTCGTAAGTATCCCTTACCTATCGATAGTGTTTACGCAGAGAACGCTCCGATTCGCTGCTATCCATTCCATCGTTTCTCCTTGAAACTACTCGCAACTTGTTGCATCGGATCATGTGTGATCTTTGGCATTGTTTATCTCTTCTTGTCTAACAACCAGAAACCGGTCTCTAAAGATGAGCTGCTCCTAATCCTTGGAATGTCCGCACTTGCTGGAGCTGTCTTTTTCGCGTTTGGCATCTCCTTTGGACTGCTTGCACGATTCTTTGAACTCTGGCCCGTGGTCATAAGAAATGTAGATGGCAAGGTCATCGCACAACTTGCAAACCGGAGTGATTGGTGCTTGCTCAACGATCTCAACCCAGTAGTCACATTTGCGAAGATCACCTTTGTAAACGCGAATAGCAATCCAATACCCGAGGCAAAGCTTCCGGCAGACATCAGAAACGATCACTATGGAGTTTGGATTTCAATGTCTTATCAAAATCGACAGAGATGGGCATTACTGCAAAGCTGCCCGGACGAGGAAACTGCTCTTACTTTGATGTCTGATTGGAACTACAAACTCAACTGCCTCAACATAGAAGACCTAGCCAACAAGAACCCACCCAGCAAACTGCAAGTCATTTAGCTTCTGTTGGTATACTGCGATATGACAAACTCAACACAATCAGGTCCAATCTCAAATCGTGTTCAACGAATCGTTGATGGCAACGACACCGAACTCATCTGCGAGATGCCCTCCGGATACGCGATCCTCGGCAAGTACCAACCCGATCCCATCAACGGCTGCTGCATGCTCCTCCCACGCACCGTCGTCGCCTCACCCAACGACCTCGACCACGACCAGCGCGCCCAGTTCTTCTCCGACCTCACACTGCTCGGAGACGCGATCATGCAAGCCACCGGATCCAATCGCATCAACTACCTCGTCCTCTGCAACCAGGTCCCCGAACTCCACGGCCACTGCGTCCCCCGCTTCGACTCCGAAGACCCCACGCTCCGCATGCAAGGACCATTTGAAGCGTACGACTTCGGAAACGCGCGCATAGCGGACGCGTCTGGACACGACCAGCAACTCCACGCGAGACTCCAAGAAGTAGTCACGAAACTCCTGCTCGAACGCGACGGCTGATCCCCAACGAAAAACCCCGCATGCAATGCATACGGGGCTCGAAGTATTCAAACTAATTCTGGGTTACCCGCCCAGCAGGTCTGCAATCTCGTCATCCACAGGGTTGGACGCACGATCGTCCTTCGGTCCCTTGGACTTCTTCTTGGGTTTGCTATCCTCTGCGTGATCTTCCGCAGATTCTTGAGCATCGATCGCGGCGTTCTGTGCCGCGACTTCCGCTTCGAGCTTCGCGAGGTCTTCCTCGGCTTGCTTGCCTTCCTTCTCAAGCTTCGCTTTGTACGACTCAATCTTCGCCTTGTCTGGACCAAGCACCACGGAGATCGAACGCCCAGCAGTACGCGGCGCCATCTCGATCTTCGCAACATCACTCAGGTCCTGGCAGATCTGGAACAATCGTTCCTCACCAAGCTCTTTGTGCATCATCTCACGACCACGGAAGCGTTGTGTGATCGAGACTTTGTGTCCAGAGATCAGGAATCGACGCGCCTGATCCACACGGATCTGCACATCATGCGGATCGATCTTGACAGATCGGCCCAGACGGATTTCCTTCATTTCCGCGCCTGAAGACTTGGACTTGTTCTCGCGCTTGGAGAGTTCGTACTTGTACTTGCCGTAGTCCATGATCTTGCACACGGGCGGGCGTGAGTCAGGGACGACCTCAACAAGGTCGAGACCCGCTTGCTGCGCCATGCGCATCGCGTCGGGTGTTTCGACCACCCCGAGTTGTTCGCCGTCCTCTCCGATCAAGCGGATCGGGGAAAGGCGGATCATGTGATTGATACGAGTCCGTGTGACGGGACCTTGTTGCCGAAAGAAGCGTCTGCGAGCGATGTCAAATCTCCTGTAAGTCCATACATTCCACCTCGGAAACTCTCCGAAGCGGCTCCCTCCTAGGGGATGCTCTATTGAACCGTCCGCTGAGCAAGAAAGCAAGCGAACTCCCTCTATATCGGACGAATGTCTATCTGATTTAATCCAACTTCAGCCTTTGGCGACACTCATCAGGTCGCGGACAGAAGCTTTGTTGAGCCGAACAGCACTCGGAGCCGCCGCGAGCAGGGTCAACACAATAGCCACTCCCCAAGACAACGCGATCGGAACAATCGGGGGTTGGAGGGTCATATCGATCCCCACGAGCGTCCGATTGATGTGCTGACCTCCCCATGCCGCTTGCAAACCCAGCAGTGTCCCAAGCACGCACGCCGCGAGCGCGATGATCAACGCCTGACCGCAGATCAGCCGAACGAGTTGACCCCGCGATGCGCCCACTGCTCGCAGCACCCCGAGTTCGTACCTCCTCGCGCTCACTTCCGCGACAATCAGGTTCGCAACCCCGAAGCACGCAACGAGCATCGCCCCTACCGCAACGATCGAGATCACCGCAAACGACGACGCAAACACCGTCTCGATCTGATGACGGATCCGAGCGCCAGAACCAACATTAAGCACCCCTGTCCCGACCAGCGCCCGCTCGATCTCCTCGATCGCGACCCTCGGCTCGACCGAATCATCAAGATCGAGCTGGACCAGCATCGGTTCACGAATCCCGAAGTGCTCGATCATATCCGCGCGTGATCCAAAGACCGAGCTGATCGCCTGCTGGACCATGCTTTCACCCAGATCAAAGTACTGCGAAACCAGTTCGAGCCCCGGCGTGGTCACCACGCCGACCACTTCAAAGCTATGCTCGTTCCCGGATGAATCCTTACAAGTAAATGTGTCCCCCACTCCCATGCCCTTTGCAACAAGAAACTCCCGCGCGACGATGACGCTCCCGCCCTCCTTTAGTTTCGCGAGTGCCGTCTCTCGATCACCCTGCACAAACTCCACATGCACCATGTCAAAGAATGCGTCAGGCTCAAACCCAAAGTAGTTCGTCTTGTAGGACTGCAACGCCTTAACCCCGAACGCATCGGTCTCCACCGCGAGCATATTGATCGCGCAGGTCCGCTCGACGACATCGAGATTGTTCAGGATCTCGATCGATTCCTCCGTCATCGGAAGCCCGTACGCGAACGCATCGGGGAACTGGATCTGATCAATCCAGTCGCGCATAGCCGCTGTGCCGTTGGTCCAGATCCCGATCAGCAGCGCGAGCCCTGTCATCAGCGCCCCCGCCGTGAACCCATGTCGATAGGGAGTCGCTCGAACAGTCCGCACCAACAACGACTCAGGGAGCCCGAACGCTCTGGAAATCATTGGCCCGATCAGCTTCGCGATCACGACCACCACCGCGACCGATGCGAGGAAGTATCCGAGGAACATCGCGGGAAGTCCCGTCGTGATGTACACCCAGAAAAACGATTGCCCACTCAACGGCGAAAGCACCACGCTCGCCATGTACACAATGCCAATGAATCCAACAATCGTGACCAACCCAATCTGAGCCGGCTTGGTCGGCTGTGCTTGCTGCACCATTGCTTGGATCGGAGATAATCTCGCCGCTCTCCATGCGGGCCAGAGCGCCCCGCTGAGTCCCGCAAGCAGCGCCCCCACCAAGGTCAACGACAGATTCAAAGGCGGGATCACCAACCCAGCCGGGAGCTGCTGCTCAAAGATGCTCACCAACACCCACGCAAGCGCGATCCCAAGCGGGAGCCCAGCAATCGCCCCGATCCCGGAAACCGTCAGTCCAACCAACAACTGTGCGATACCGAGCTGGTGCCGATGCGCGCCGATACAACGCAGCACCCCCAGCATCCGCTGCTGTTCAGCAATCCCTGTCGTCAATCCCGTCGTGATAATGAATGCCGCGGAAATCAGCGTAATCACCGAGATCAGCATAAACCCCAGCTGCGCCGCCGCGAGGTTCTGCTGCACTCCTGCAGTCACTCGCTCAGTGGTCTGCACAATCGCGCGCCCCTCGTATGCGTCCTCGTGCCTTGCGACGAACTCTATCGGATCGACACCCTCCGCGAGCTTGATCTCCAGATCCGTAATCTGATTCTTCTTGCGAGCAATCGAATCAAGCGTCGCGATCGTCGTGTACCCCATCGGACGCCCACCCATTGGTGGAGCTTGCGTAATCCCCACTAAGGTCAGCGTCACATTCGAACGCAGCAACCGAGCGATCTCAATCTGATCCCCAACCCGAGGACCCACGGCTCGATTCACACGCTCCGCTTCATCCGCATCAATCACTCGCTGACCAACAAACGGCTTCGGATCATTGTGATACCCGATCGGATCATCAAACAACTTCGTCGCGCGATACACCCCTTCATCCGTCGAATACACCCAGCTCATCCGCTGAGCCGCACGCGCATCGAGGACAATCTCAAAGTCATTCTCCGGATACCGCCCCTCAAGCAGCTCCACAGGACGCGCATCAAACTCCGCGCTCGGATCGACCCCATTAATAAACACACTGGTGAGGTACCCCTGATCCACAACGCTGTACTCAGTCTCCGGATTGTCCATATCGATCGGCATCGCCGTCGGGAGTGTCGAGAGCACAGAGTAAGTCTGTTGCAATCTCGGGAGCACCGATTGCACGCCGTCCCACTCACGCACTGTATCAGCGACCGATGCAGGCATCGTCGATCCCTTGATCGCGACGACCCTCGCTTCCGCGAGTCCGACCTGTGTGTCGATTTGCTTCGTGAACGACGCGTTGATCGATCCCATCACGCACGCGACGGCGCTGATCAGCACCACGGACATGCAGACCGCTGCCGAGAGGAGGATCAATCGCGAGGGTCTACCCAAGCAGATGCTGCGTGCGAGCCGCAAGAGTGCCTGCATCGAGCCCCCCTTCCGCATCCGCATCGATCGTGCCCTTGACCACCCCATCGCCCATCACAAACACGCGTTTGCAATAACTCGCCGCCTCTGGTTCGTGCGTGACCATCAGCACAGTCACTTCCTGCTCTTCCGCGATCTCGCGCAGGACATTCCACACCAGCGTGCTCGAAACCGAGTCCAGATTCCCCGTCGGCTCATCCGCGAACACGACAGGCGGCTTGTACAACAACGCCCGCGCGATCGCGACACGCTGCTGCTCACCACCTGAAAGCGCCTGAGGACGATGCGTCGTCCGATCACCCAGCCCCAACCGATCCAGAAGCTCCATCGCACGATCATTGAGCTGACCGCTCGCATCTCCCGCGAGCAATCCAGGGAGCAGCGTATTTTCTAAAGCCGTCATCGTGGGGATGAGGTTGAACGCCTGGAAGATCACCCCGATCGATGTCCTGCGGAACTTGGTCGCTTGGCGCTCGCTGAGTTGATCGACGCGCTCTCCAGAGACATGGACCTCTCCCGAATCGCACGGATCCATCGCCGCGAGCACATGGAGCAGTGTCGACTTCCCCGACCCCGACCGTCCCATCACGGCATAAAACCCAGGATCATTGATCTCAAGATCCACCCCACGCAACGCATGCACACTGTGCCCGCCGCTCGCGTAGGTCTTCTGGACATCAATACATCGGATCATGTCACAGTATTGGGGGTTGGGATGTCGAAGTTGCGAACAATCACGCAATCGACGCGGAATACGCCTCAGCGTCCATCGCATCACCAAGCGATCCCTGATCGCTGATCTTGATCTTCACGAGCCATCCCGCTTCGAATGGATCGGAGTTGAGAATCTCCGGAGAGGACTCCACCTCGTCGTTGACCTCGATGATCTCACCACCCACGGGCGAGTACACATCCGACGAGGTCTTGACCGATTCGACCTCACCGATCGAGTCGCCCGCTCCGATCTCTGTTCCGACGGGCTGCATCTCCGCGAAGGTCACATCTGTGAGCTGATCGACCGCATAGGAAGTCAGACCGATGGTCAGGACATCGCCCTCGACCTTGAGCCATTCGTGGGTTTCGGAGTACGTGCGATCGGTTGGGATGGACATATGGATGCTCCTGATTGAGGTGAGACCGGAGTGTAAGGAGTGATTAATCTCTGGACAACTCTGCACTTTGGTTCGAATCCCACTCAATCCCTAGAATCTACGGCATGGACATACCACTGAATCCCAACCATAAGCGGACGAATCGACTGATTTGCAACGACATTCCGCTCAACCTCCTACCTACAGAACAAGATCTCAAGCGGGTGGACACCATGGATCCTTGCGAATGCCCCCGGCGGTATTGCTGGCATTGGCGTTCGCTCTCACACGAATGGGATATACCGATTCATGAGGGTTGCAATGCCAACAAATCAGGAGTCAACTTTCGTGGTGAGCCGCTCCGTGCGTTTCACAATACCAATTGCAAGCGAAATGACCCAAAGAGTAAACAAGACCATTTCGAGCCGAGAGAACCAGCACTCCGCGAAGACGGCATCCCTGATGGACGCTGGGACTGTCCTCAAATGTGTCCATCAGGCTCCTAAATCGCATGGATTTCAACGCCGTAACGCGTGCATCAGACCCCCAAATGCGATATGATCCGTCTTACCGGCGGGCGGAGCCCAATCAGCCGGGGTGACATATCGAACGCACTTGCTCGTAAGTGCTGTACTGGTGATGTGTTGCCAGCCAACACGGAGGTTGCGCTGACATGACGACGATGACGACAACTCAAGAATCCACTCCTCAATCACCTACCCAAACGCCCTCTCAGAGCGATCCACAGCCGATCCGCTCAGGCCTCGCGCTCACCAAGCTCACCCTCTCGGGATTCAAGTCCTTCGCCGACAAAACAACCTTCACCTTCGATGATCCGATCACCGGCATCGTCGGACCCAACGGCTGCGGAAAGTCCAATGTCGTCGACGCGATCAAATGGGTCCTCGGAGAACGCTCCTCCAAATCCCTCCGCGGCAAAGAAATGCTCGACTGCATCTTCGCCGGATCCGCAGGACGCAAACCCTCAGGGATGGCCTCCGTCACCCTCTCATTCGACAACCCCAAGTCCGCGCAGATCCTGACCGAAGCCGCCGGGAAAGCCGACGAGCAGACCACCCCCACCGACACCCACGAAGTCCTCGTCGAAGATGTCGAAGTCGAGTCCGTTGAATCGGTCGAAGACCAAGACGTCGAAAGCACCGAAGAACACCACCCCGCGCACGACGAGCACATCAGCGACGAAGACGCCGACCGTGCCGCGAGCGAGGGCGAGTCCGAAGCCGCATCGATCATCACCGAGCGCCGCCGCATCGCGCGTCCGCTCCCAATCGATGCGGATCAAGTCGAGGTCCAACGCCGCCTCTACCGCGACGGAAAATCCCAGTACCTCATCAACGGCAAGCTCGCACGTCTCAAAGACATCCGCGACCTCTTCCTCGATACCGGGATCGGCGCCGACGCGTACTCGATCATCGAGCAGGGGAAGGTGGACCGCATGCTCCTCGCATCCCCGATGGAGCGCCGCGTCATCTTCGAGGAAGCCGCGGGGATCGCCAAGTACCGCCAGCGCCGCGTCGAAGCGCAGCGCAAGCTCGACAAAGCCGAGTCCAACCTCGCGGTCACCAAAGAACAGCTCGATTCGACCGAGCGCCGCTTGCGGATGGTCAAGGGACAAGCCGCCAAAGCGCGCCGCTTCAAGGAACTCGACGACGAGTACCGCGCCCAGCGCCTCGCGCTGAGCTTCGAGCAGTACGATGACATCCGCCGTCGCCTCGAAGGTCTGACCTCGCAGATCGCGGCTCTGGAAAACGAGCGCCAGCAAACCCAGCAGATGCTCGAAGAAGCCGAGGATCAGTACAACGAAGCGAAGGAGCACCGACTCACCGTCGGACGAGCACTCCGCGAAACCGAGAACGCGCTGACCAACGCGCGTCACCAAGCCGAGTCCGCGAACCAGCGTCAGGAGATGACGCACAAAGCGATCGAGGACGCGGCCCATCTCGTCGAAACCGAAACCACCCGCCTCACCGAATCCAGCGGACGTCTCCAAGAGATCGACGCGCAGATCACCTCGCACACCGACACCCTCGAAGGACTACAGGAAACACTCGCGACCTCCGAAGAAACACTCAAGCATACCAGCGATCAGCGCGAGCACGCCGCGCGTCAGCTCAACGAGCATCGTCAGAAGATCGATGAGACCCGCTCCGTCGTCGCATCCGTCGAGCGCGAGCACGCCACCCTCGTCGCACGCATCGAGTCCGATGATCGCCGCATCGAGTCCATCACTGAACGCGTGAGCGAGTTGACCCAGCGCCTCCGCAAACTCGACACCAAAATCAGCGAAACCAAACAGCTCGCAACCAATACCGAAGAAGCTATCACGCTCATCGACAGCGAGATCGCCAAAGACCAAAGCGCCCTCGCCGCACTGGATCAGCGCGTCGAATCCCTCGACTCCTCACGAGGCAATCTCGCCAAGTGTGTCAACACCCTCGACGAGGAACGCGTCCGACTCGAAACCCGCCACGCGACGCTCGACGAGATGGTCAAGGGACGCGTCGGACTCGATGAAGCCGTCCGCGCTGTCCTCGAGATCCAAGATCGTGGTGAAGGATTCTCCGGAGTCATCGGCCCACTCGCCGAACTCATCGAAGCCAACGCCGAGCACGCTACACACATCGAAGCCGCGCTCGAAGACACCCTCCAAGCACTCGTCGTCGAATCCATGGACGCGATGCCAACGCGTGAAGAACTCGCACAACTCCCAGGACGAGTCACATTCCTCCCGCTCACCAACACAACCACCCCAACCAACTCCATCCCAGGCTGGTTGACCGACGCGACCAACGGCCGCGTCATCCGCCTGCGAAACACCGTCACCAGCAGGGACCAAGACCCACGCGTTGATGCGCTCCTCGACCGTTTGCTCGGGAACTCCCTGCTCGTGAGCGACCTCGATTCTGCGATGCTCCTCGGCGCTGGACCGCTCGCATCGACTCCATGCCGATTCGTCACGCGAGCAGGCGTCGTCATCGAACCCGACGGCCGCGTCTGTGCCGGAACACGCTCAGGAAGCGAATCCGATGGACTCCTCGCTCGACAGAGCGAGCTTCACGAACTCTCCAGCAAGGTCGAGATCATCCGCACCGATCTCGATCAAGCCAAGCAGGAACTCGCCCGTGTAGACCACGACGCCGCGAATCTCGGAGAGCAGCGCAGCAAGCTCCACTCGAAGATCACGGCACTCCGCGAATCCCGCGTCCGCACCGAGCACACGCTCGACACACACCGCTCGGAAGCCGAGCGTCTTACACGTGACCAACAGCGAGGCATTGACGAACAACAAACCCACGCGAACCGACTCGAAGAATCACGCGTCGGACGCGAAGCACTCGTCACCAAGTCAGGTCAGCTCGAGCGACTCCTGCAGGAGCAACGCACCGAACTGGAGACCCTTCAAGCCGGGATCGGTCAGTACGAGCAAGCTCTCGACGATGTCAACGAACGCGCCAGCGCCGCTCGCATCGCCGTTTCGACCGCCCACGAGCAGGTCCGCTCCGAATCGCGTCACCTCTCCGCCCTCACCAGCTCACGCGACGAGATCGAACGCGCCTCGAGCCAAGCTCAAGCGATGATCGAACGCGCCCGCGCCAACCTCGACGAACACAAACGCGTCGCCCAGGAAGCCCACGACGAGCAGCTCAAAGCCCACGCGCTCATCGAGTCCCTCGAATCCGCGATGCACGAGCAAGCAGAGGTCGTCCGCGTTGCCGAGGAAGCGGTCAACGCCGCGAACTCCGCGATGTCCCAAGCACGCGACCAAGCCGAAGCGTTCAACAGAGATTGGCACGCCGTCGAATCCGCACGCCGCGAAACCGAAGTCAAACGCGAGACCATCGAGGAGCGCACCCTCGAAGACCTCGAGGTCGATCTCGTCTTCGAGTACCCCGAGTATCGACACATGATGGACGACGGAGGCGTCGCACGCATCGATGTCACCGCGATGACCGCGAGCGTCCACGTCCTCAAAACCGAGATCAAAAAGCTCGGCAACGTCAACCTCAACTCCATCGACGAAGAATCCAACCTCACCCAGCGCAACGAGGATCTCATCAACCAGGTCCGCGACATCGACGAGGCACGCATCAAGCTCGCGACGCTCATCGAGAAACTCAATGTCGCGTCCCGCGCCCGCTTCGGTGAAGTCTTCGACCGCATCAAAGACGAGTTCGGCGGTCGCAACGGTATGTTCCGCCGACTCTTCGGTGGTGGACGCGCCGAGGTCCGTCTCATGCCGCTCATCAAAGAAGTGGACGGCGAGAAGGTCCAGACCGACGAGATCGACCTCCTCGAATCCGGAATCGAAGTCATCGCCAAACCACCAGGAAAGGAGCCGCGTTCGATCAACCAGCTCTCAGGTGGTGAGAAGACCATGACCGCCGTCGCGATGCTCCTCGCGATCTTCCGCAGTAAACCATCCTGCTTCTGCGTGCTCGACGAAGTCGACGCCGCGCTCGACGAAGCGAACGTCGGACGCTTCTGCTCCACGCTCGACCTCTTCGCGCTCCAGAGCCGATTCATCGTCATCACGCACAACAAGCGCACGATGCAAGCGACCGACAAACTCTTCGGCGTCACCATGCAAGAACGAGGCGTCTCCAAACGCGTCGAAGTCCGCTTCGACCAAGTCGGAGACGACGGTGAGATCGATGCTAAAGCTGTCAAAGACGCGCCGGTTGAAGCTCTCGAACCAGAACCAGTCAAAGAAGAAACCCCAGAAGGCCAAAAACCCTCCGGGGCGCTGCGTGCGGCACTCGCTTCCATGCGAGAAAGCGATAATCCAGTCGAAGCTTAAGAGCGATTACGACTCAACACGCACCTTGAGCTTCTGGAGCCCATCGAGCCACCCCTCCTCAAACTCCTCGGCCATCCCGTCGTAAATCTCGCCCGCCATGCGATGATCAACACTGACCTTGGTCCCGCCATCAACATCCTCAAACGCGACCGTCATATTCATAATCACCGCCGCGGGCATCGTGCAATCCCCCTTGATCCGGATCTTGTCGTTCGGCTTAAGCATCGTGATCTCACCGAGCACATTGAACCCGCCGTCGGGAAGTGACGTGTAAAACTTCCCGCCCATCCGCTCTTCGCACAGCGTCGGCTGCGAGCTCTTGGTTTCATCCGAGTGGTAGAACCATTCGCTCGTGTCATCAAACCACGCCCTGTACACCTCCGACCGAGGCGCGTTGATCGTGATCTCTACATTCGCGACCGCCAATCGCGCCGACTGTTCCATCATCTTGGTTGACATGCCATTCTCCTATCGAGTTGATTTGCTTTCCAACTTGTTTTTGAGCCGAACCAGCGAGCCCGCCCACTGGTCCTCGTACTTGCTCACCCATCGCTCATAGATCATCCGGAGCGGGACCGCGTTGAGATGATTCCATCGCGTCCGTCCGTCCTTCCGCGACACGACCAGCCCCGCGTCCTCGAGCAGCCCCAGATGCTTCATCACGCCGAACCGTGTCATCTCTGGGAACTCCCCCACGATCTCCGTCGTGGTCTTGGGACCATCACGCAGCAGATCCAGGATCGCCCGCCGTGTGGGATCTCCCAGCGCCTTAAAGACCCGATCCATCTGATCGACTTGCCCTTCCATACTCGGCCTCATGCCTCCAAAGCACGCGAGTCATTCACGCGCTACATAGGTGACTATACAGTCACCTATTAACCATGTCAAGCACACTTTCAAAAACCCCATCCGCATCCTCTGAGCCCTGATTCAGTAGAATCAATCATGCTCAAATCAAAGCTCATCCCGCTGCTCTCACTCGTCACCCTCTGCTTCGCGTCACGCGCCCTCGCCGCCGGCCCACTCCAGACCTACACCTTCGTCTTCATCCTCACAGGACCCGCGACCGACATCGATGCAAAGACCCAAGAAGTGGCCTTCCAAGGCCACTTCTCCAACATGACCCGAATGGCCGAGGACGGCGACCTCCTCATCGCCGGACCATACTGGGAACCCCTAACCTGGGACGACATGCGTGGCATGTGGATCTTCAACACCGACGACCTCGACCAAGCCAGCGAGTTCGCAGCCACCGATCCTCCAGGCAAACTCGGGATCTTCGTCTTCGACATCCTCCAGTTCAAAACAGACGACGCGCTCCTCGAACTCCCTCGCCTCGAAAAAGAAGACGAACAGCGCCGCCTCTCCGATCCTGACATCCCCGACGAATGGGCCGGACGTGGATATTTCTGGGCATTCGCTCCAGTCGCAAAGTCCAACGAACCAGACCGCGTCCTAGGCGTCGCCCTCCTCGGAACCCTGATAGGGAACGAGGACTCCCGCCTCCAAGACGACCATTGGCTCATCCTCCTCGACGCGACCACCGCCGACGAAGCAAGCCAGGTCCTCAAAGACGCCGGATGCGATCCTACCAACTGGAACATCGACCAGTGGTACGGCAGCGCGATGCCCGCAAAGCTCCCAACTTTCCGCGAGTAATCCCCCCAAACTGCATACGATCCCACGATGCAGACGTTCAACAAACCATTCGAGGTCGTCAGCGACTTTGAGCCCGCCGGAGATCAACCCGGAGCGATCGACGCGCTCGTCGCCTCCATCAACTCAGGTCAGCCCCGCTCCTGCCTGCTCGGCGCTACAGGCACCGGCAAGACCTTCACGATGGCCAACGTCATCGCTCGCACCAACAAGCCCACCCTCGTCCTGAGTCACAACAAAACCCTCGCCGCCCAGCTCTACGAGGAGTTCAAAGCGTTCTTCCCCAACAACTCCGTCAACTACTTCGTCTCCTACTACGACTACTACCAGCCCGAAGCGTACATCCCAGGACGCGACATCTACATCGAGAAAGACAGCTCCCGCAACGACGACCTCGACCAGCTCCGCCTCGCCGCCACGAGCAACCTGCTCCAACGCCGCGACTGCGTTGTCGTCGCGTCCGTCTCCTGCATCTTCGGTCTTGGATCACCAAGCGCCTACTCCGAGCGTGTCTACACGCTCATGCAAGGCATGGAACTCCCAAGACGCGACCTCTTCCTCGCCCTCAACGCGATGCGCTACGAACGCTCCGAGATCGAGTTCAAACGCGGCCAATACCGCTCGCGAGGCGACGCGATCGAGGTCTGGCCGGCGTACGAAAAATTCGCCGTGAGAATAGAGCTCTTCGGAGACGAGATCGACAAGATCGAGCTCATCAACCCCACCTCCGGAGAACTCCTCGCCGAGGAACACCAGTACTTCCTCTTCCCCGCCGTCCACTACGTCATGCCCGAGGACCGCCTCAACGCCGTGCTCGAAAGCATCCGCGAGGAGATGGACGCACGCGTCATGGAGCTCCGACACGAGGGCAAACTCCTCGAAGCACAGCGTCTCCTGGCACGCACCAAATACGATCTCGAAATGATCGAAGAAGTCGGATACTGCCAAGGCGTCGAGAACTACTCCCGCTACATGGACGGCAGACAACCCGGAGAGCGTCCCTTCACCCTCCTCGACTACTTCGACTACGCGCCCGGAAGTGTGGACCCAACCAAACTCGACCTCCCATACGACGGACGCGACCACGAGCACGACTCGCAACGCTTCGGAGTCACCCGAACCAACCTTAAGGATTGGCTCATCATCGTCGATGAATCCCACGTCACCCTCCCGCAGATCAAAGCCATGTTCAACGGCGACAAAGCACGCAAGCAAGTCCTCGTCGACCACGGCTTCCGACTCCCCTCCTGCCTCGACAACCGACCGCTCCGCTTCGAAGAGTTCGAGAACCTCGTCCCCCAAATGGTCTTCGTCAGCGCCACCCCAGGACCCTACGAACTCGAAGCCACCAGCGGAGAAGTCATCGAGCAGGTCATCCGTCCCACAGGCCTGCTCGACCCAGAGATCGAGGTCCGCCCCGCGACCAATCAGGTCGTCGACCTCATGGAGCAATCCAAAGAGATCGTCGACAGCGGCGGACGCGTCCTCATCACCGCGCTCACCAAGCGACTCTGCGAAGACCTCACCACCTACCTCAGCGACCAGGGACTCCGCGTCCGCTACCTCCACTCCGAGATCGAAACCCTCGACAGACTCGAGATCCTCACCGCGCTGCGAGCCGGAGACTTCGACATCCTCGTCGGCGTCAACCTGCTCCGCGAGGGACTCGATCTCCCTGAAGTCAAACTCGTCTGCATCCTCGACGCCGACAAAGAGGGGTTCCTCCGCTCCGCGACCTCGCTCATCCAGCAGATGGGACGCGCCGCACGCAACAGCGAATCCCGCGTCATCCTCTACGCCGACCGCGTCACCAAAGGCATGGACCAAGCAATCACCGAAACCCAGCGCCGACGCGACAAGCAACTCGCCCACAACCAAGAGCACGGAATCACCCCCACCACCGTTATCAAAAGCATCCGCACCGGGATCGACCGCGAGCTCGAAGCACGCCGATCCGCCAAGAACGCCGCGGAAGTCACCGACACCCTCATCGACGCCGAGGTCCTCGTCGGGATGCTGCAAGCCGACATGCTCATCGCCGCCGAAGCGACCCAGTTCGAAGACGCCGCTCGCCTCCGCGACCAGATGCTCCACGTCAAAGAACTCCTCGATCAACACGATGACGAGAATCCCTTGCTGGTCCGCCGCTCCGAGATCGAAGCGGTCATGAACAAAGGACTCAAACGCAAAGGCAACCCCAAGAAACGCCAAGGCAGCAAAGGTGCCCCCGGAACCCGCGGCAAAGGCCGAACGATGTAATCACATCACCATCCGCACCGAAGCCACCGCAAGAATCAACGCGATCACCAGCTTCAGGTGAGGCAGCTTGATCTTGTGTGCGATCCACGCACCAAGGTACGCGCCAATCAGCGCCCCCACCCCGATCGGGATCGCGAACCCCATCGCTTCTGAGATCGTCAGGCGAACCGACTCATTCGGCGCCGGGTACGATATCGAAGGCAATGTATACAGCTTCATCGAAGCGCCGATGATCGAACTGATCCACATCACCCCCGCGCTCCCAGCGATCGCATGACGCAGCGGAAGCCCTGAAATCTGCAGCAACGGCACAAGCAGAATCCCGCCGCCGATCCCCAGATACCCCGAAACCCCGCCCACAAACAACCCGATCACGATCATCTTCCAGTGCGCCGGAGATGGTGCATCAAGCGGATGATCCGGGATCTTCTTCACCGTCGTGATGATGTTGTACGCGCAGTACATCCAGATGAACCCCGCGAACGCGATCAGCGACCATCGTCCCGGAGATTCCCCCGCCATCAATACTCCCGCGACCATCCCCGCCGTCATCGAGGGGACCAGCGACATCAGCACGTCCTTGCGAGCCGCCTTCTTCTTCGCGTGCATGAGTGTTGACGACAACGCGACTATGACATTGACGCACATCGCCGCCGCCATGTACACATGATGCCGCGTCTGCGACTCGTCTTCCTCGCCGTTGATTGTGTACCCCCAGATCATCGCCATCGCTGGGAGCATGATGATCGACCCACCCAGACCCGCGAGCCCACCAACGAGTCCCGCGACAACACCTAAGGCGGTTCGTATCAGAATCTCAATGGGGTCCATGCATGCTCCAATGGTTGATGAGTGAGCACTCTAGGTTCGAAACGACCTCAAAAATGAAAAGCCGGCCCTTTCGGACCGGCTGTGAGAGATTAAGGATCGACCTAATCAGCAGTCAGTTTGACCCTCATGGGCAACCAGCAGCATACTCAGTGAGGAACGCACTCACATCGAGGAAGTTGAACTGGCCATCCATCACGAAGTCCGTCGATGGATCTTGCAAACTGAACAGTTCGAGGAACATCGAAACATCTTCGAAGTTCAGCACGCCATCAACATTGAAGTCGGGCAGACAGGTTGATCCAACACGGAACATCGCGTTGACAACCCCTTCATCCCGATCTTCTTCCATCCAGACCGCATAGACCCTGTTGCCATCCGGATCCAAACGGAACTGACTCTCAAAGGTACCGACATCCGCATCGACTGGAACATCATCCGCAAGCTTCACAACTGGTGCATACGACATTCCATAGTCATCCGTTCGAGTCATGTACACATCGAGGTCAACGATTCCCTCAGAGACATGCTCGTACTGATTGACTTCAGTGCCCCATGCGACCAAGAACGAGCCGGGATCTGCTGGAGTCGCAGGATTTGGGCTGAACGGCGCCCCAACGATTCTGGGTTCACGCACATTCACCTTCTCGCTCGCATCGATGTTGGACATGTTCACCTTCTGCGTCCATGTCTGACCACCATCATGCGAGGTCCTCATGTAGAAGTTGTAGTTCTCAAGATCCGTGTAGCGTGCGACCGCCCAGTCTGGAGTCCAGCTCCATCCAAGAGCCATGAAGTCGCCGCGGAGGATTCCACGATGTGCTCGTGCATCTTCGAACGAATCGTCCTCAGGATGAGCATCGAGTCCGAGCGACGAACTCAGATTCATCCCCTGTTCGTTGTTGAATGCATTCTCACGCGTGGTCGCATCCGGATCGATCGGTGGATTCAGATCTTCAGGACGGAACCCAGTCGACAGCGGATCGCTGGAGTTCTTTCGTCCAACCCGACACATGATGTCTGAAGGGCCACCCTGATCGAAGTCGCCTTGTTTGTAGAGCCAGACGATGCGAACATCACTCTGATTCATCAATGGACCAGGCTGAACGATGAAGCGTACACGACGGGCGCTCTCTTCTGGGAGTGACAAGATCCATCCCGCACCATCCGTAGCATCTGGCATCGAGTCATCAAACGCCGAGAAGGTGTGGTAACGGATGTACTTCCCGTCATCCAACCCCTCAAGCCCTTTCGTTTCCTCGTACGCGACGATCGCGGTCGATCCAACCATGAAGGTATTGGCCCGCGAAGCACCATGCCGACCAGCTTCGTCTCCATCATTATCAAAGTGGGTGAAGTTGTCCGTGATGCGTTGTGGCTCAGGGAAATCAACCCCAGCGTTGAAATCTGGAGCACGCAGCGCCGTGTACCAGATGTCAGTACCATGACTGACCTTGGCGCCCGAACCACCCTCGCCGGGACCTTCCGCATCACCAGGCTGCAATCCCTTCGGATCTTCCTGCCAGGTTACGATGAACCCAGCACTCGATCCACGAGGAACATCCTGCTTCGCGTCCCGCTCACCCGTTGAGAGCCTCTGTGGAGCGCTCCATGTCGCACCACCATCCGTCGAGCGAACACAGTAAGTCGCTGCATATGGCACTTCGAGCAAACCGGATTCCGGATAGACAACACTCTCTTGAAGCCCCGAGGGGACATAGTGATCAACCCAAGAGATGATCACATTCTTCCCATTGTTGTAGATGTTGGGTTTCTGAGAATCACCGTAGTAAGGCACCTTCGCTGTGCTCTCATCACCATCGTGATCCGCATCCATCGACGATAGATGCGCCGTGTTGGAGATGTTCACAGGTTGCGACCAAGTCCGTCCATTGTCGAGCGAACGCATGACAAACAGATCCTTCGCAGCGTGTGTGCTCCCGTCATGCTTCCAGACCTCAGGTCCCTGAGCGTCCCCATACACACTCACGAGCACGACATTGAAACCACCCATCCCATCAGGGTAATCCAAACGAACGATCTTCCCCTTCGAAGCTGCCTCTCCATCCACACCCATCACAGGTGTCGAAGACAACTCGATTGCGTCAGAGAGTGAAAACGGTGTCGGAGCACCAAGAGCAAGCGAGGTGCCAGCGAACAAAGTGAGTACGCCTGTCATTGAATGTCTCATGGCAAGTCCTTCCATTCTGCGGCGGACTTGATCTCGCGGCACACCCGTTCTTTCGAGCCCGCCAGTTTTTTTCGCTCCCCGCGCGATTCTATTCCGCGCACCACCGTTTATCAACAGATCAGTCTTTATATTCTTAATTTACTACTAGAACTTACTTATAAAATAGATACATATAAACTACGAAAATGATGCCCACAAAGCATCACCTCAGCGCCAAATACAAACAGAATGCAAAATGCAATCCCTCACCAACGCGGATTAGCCGCGCATGAGCCGTTCAAACTCGGGGATCGCTCGCCGCATCGAAGACACATCGAATCGCTTTGGAAGCTCGTCCACACCCATCGCCGTCGCCGCGACCTCCGCGACCCGCTCGACCAATCGACTCGGAGGCATCAACCCCCCAGACAGTTGATCGTGATCCACCCAGCTCAGCGTGATCTCATGCTCCGTCGTGCCGCGAGATTTCCACGAGAGCGTAACCACATACGACCATCCACGATCGGTATCGTACTCATCATCAACGACAATACTCAGCGGCGCGTTCTGATTCACTGAAGGGTCGGTGTGCATAGACCGCTCATCGGATTGATCCTGCTCACGATCCACTCAAATCCACCCAATCCCACTCATTCAACGCGTGTATGCAGGTTCCCCTGCTCGCTCTCAAGATGCCCGCCCATCGCCATGATGTCCTCGATGACACCCTTAAACTGCGCATCTGGCATAGGAGGCGTCGCCCCATCCATCACCGACTGGTAGATCTCATCGGTCAATCCCAGATACAGCCGCATCGCGTACTCATACGCCGCGTCATGCTCATCGCGCGACAGGTCCAAGCGGAGCTCGTTGATGATCTTCGTTCCCATCATAATCCACTCGTCGAACGTCTCCTTCGAAATATTCTCGTGGATCCACTGCCCCATCCCATTACGGAACGGCTGACGCGGCATCTGATGCCCCATCTTCCCAGTCTTCCCGCACCGGAAGTCCCCGCCCGCAACATCTTCCGACTCAGTTGGAGTCTGAACAACATCGGGAATCGGCACATCGATCTCCTTGAGCATCCCTTCGATCGCCTTCTTGGGGAGCATATCCCCACGCGTGACCGCCTCGACGTACCCCTTGGTCAGGACCTCTTTCGCCTGCTCCGTGTTCCCCGAATCTATGTATGACCGACCCGCGAGCTCGTACCCTTTGGTCATCCCCGGATTGATCTCCGTGCAGCGCACAAACGAAGCCGCGGCTTCATCAAACCGCTCCGCCTGAAGCAACGCGTTGCCAAGCGAAAAATGCGCCATGTCGTTGTCCGGATCGGACTCGATCAATGATTGAAACTGATTGATTCTCGTATCAAGATCCACAGCATGGCTCCTTTCGTGCAACCTGCAGTGCAACTGTAGGTCATCACGCGTACTGTATGGGCATGGGATACGCCCCAAGTCCGCGATTACAGACCTCACTCTCCGGCATAGCACTCCGCTCGCCGATCCTCCTCGCGTCAGGCACCGCAGGCACCATCGACGAAATGAACGACGTCATGGACATCACCCTCCTCGGAGGGATCGTCACCAAATCCATCACGCGCCACCCACGCGAGGGCAACCCCTTCCCGCGCATCACGTGGACCCGTGCCGGGATGCTCAACGCGATCGGACTCGCCAATCCCGGACTCGATGCATGGAAAGCGGACATCGCGCCCAGAATCTCATCTGTGAGCACCAACATCATCGGATCCGTCGCCGGAGACTCCATAGAAGACTACGTCCAAATCGCTTCCGCTATGGACCAGGTCCAGTCCATCCCCGCAATCGAGCTCAACGTCTCGTGCCCCAACGTCCACTCCGGACTCGAGTTCGGCGCTGACCCCGCCGCCCTCACCGAGCTCGTCACCGCCGTCCGATCTCAAACACCAAACACCAAGCTCTTCGTCAAGCTCTCCCCCATCACCGTCGGGACCCCACACACCATCGTCGACCTCGCCCGCGTCGCCGTGGACTGCGGCGTCGACGGACTCACCCTCTGCAACACCGTCCCCGCGATGGGGATCGACGTCCACACCCGCAAACCCATCCTCGCCAACACCACCGGCGGAATGTCAGGACCCGCGATCCACCCCATCACCGTCCGACTCGTCCACCTCGTCTACTCGCAGCTCACCAAAGACACCAACACCCCAATCATCGCCGCCGGAGGCGTGACCCGATGGGAAGACGCCGCGGAGTTCATCCTCGCCGGCGCATCCGCCGTGCAGATCGGAGCCGGCAGCTTCGCCGACCTGAGCATCCCACGCAAAGTCGTCAAGGGACTCGACAAGTGGTGCGCCAAGCAAAGTGCCGCATCAATTTCTGATCTCGTTGGTCAAGTGAAACTGAGCTAAGCGCTCACATCGCCATCAGCAAGTTGCCAATCAACGACCCCAGCAGCAGCGCCAGCACGATCAAAAACGGCGGCCACAGCAACCGATCCACCACCCCATTGCTGTCCTTCTTCGCCGTGTTCTCTTGGATCGGGGTCGTGATCGCCGCTTCCGCCTGAGCGAGCGCCGTCAGATCCGCCTCCGCCATCACATCCTTGTGCGCGATCGGAGGCACCTCGCCGTTCTTGAGCGCCCTCAGATCCACAAGCAGATCCGTGCAGTTCTGGTAGCGATGACGGACCTTCTTCGCCATCATCATCTCGATGACCTCGCTGATCCCCGCGCTGAGCTTGGGATTCACATGATCAGGCGGCACAAGCTCGCTCTTAAGATGCTTATGCATCACCGCACTGGGACTCTTGCCCTCAAACGGCACCGCACCAGTCACCATGTGATACAGCGTCGTCCCAAGCGAGTAGATATCCGCCGGAGGTCCGATGTCCTTCTCGCCTCGGATCTGCTCAGGTGAGATGTAATACGGCGTACCAAACGCACGCCCCGCCTCCGCTTCCGCGGCTTCCACATCACTGATCCCTCGCGCCAGACCCATGTCCGCGAGCTTCACCACACCCTCTTTGGTGATCATAATGTTCTTGGGTTTCACGTCGCGGTGGATCAACCCACGCTGGTGAGCATGCTCAAGCGCCTCCGCAACCTGGATAATGATCTCAACCGCCTGTCGTTCATCGAAGCGTTTATGCTCAACAATGTCCTCGTGAACTGTGCGTCCCTCGACGTACTCCATCACGAAGTAGTACAGATCACCCTCGTTCCCCACATCGAAAGCCTGCACGATGTTGGGGTGATTGAGCTGCGCCGCCGCGCGTCCCTCTGCAAAGAACCGCTCAATAAACTGTGGATTCTGCGAGAACTTCTCGGGAAGCTTCTTAAGCGCCACCAAACGATCCAGCGACACCTGCTTCGCTTTGTACACCGTCGCCATCGCGCCCGCGCCGAGCTTCCCAAGGATTTTGTATCCAGAGATCTTGTTCCCAGACCGCTCAGCTTCAATCGCTTCACGCAATCGAGCGAGCTGACGCTTGGTGATGAACTCTTTATCGACCAGCACATGCGCCAGCGATTTTTCTGATGGACCTTCACCCTCTCCACGAGCCATGGTCTTGCAGTGCTTGACCTCATCGCTCGTCGCGAGTCCCTGATCAATCACCAATCGACCGATCAGCGTGTCCAGATTGGTGCCAGACTTCGTCGCCGCCATGATCGATTTTTCAGAATCCTCGACACTCGCCGCATCCGTCGAGCCCGGCTCAAGCGGCGCTGTATCCTCTGGTGACAATGCCCCATTCCCGATATTGGAATCATCAAGCAAACGAGGAACCGAGTTGTCATCATGTTTCTGAGACATTGTTCTTTGATTCAAGCGAACGAGTCGCACACTCCACAAGCTCGGTTTGCTCAACCGATTCCCGCAACCAGTGGCCACACGAGGGTAGGCACCAGACACGAGCCCGAAAAGAGCAACAGACCCCTCTGAGCAATTGCCCCTGATCAGCTCTTGACGAGTCCAAGAACCGGGACATCCAATGTACCAAGATACGAGCAGAATTTGGTATCGGATCAATCACATACGCACAAATCATAGATTCCACGCGATTGAATCCACAGTGGTACGCCCGATAGTCGTATACTCACGCTCCACGACGCGAGTGAGCCCTCAAAAATATGCTGACCACAGACGCACGCCCCCGTAACCTCCGCTGGATCCACGCAGGACCGCTCCTCTACGGCGACTGGGGGACCTCACGCCTCTATGTGCTTGGACTCGCATTCCTCTATACCGCACACGCCTCGATCATCTACCTCGCCGCGATCGGCCTGCTCATGCTCGCCGTGTCGTGGGCATACACCCACATCTGTCGTTGTTTCCCAGATGGAGGGGGTGTCTACACCGCCGCGCGCCAACTCTCCCCTGTTCTCTCAGTGATCGGATCAACCCTCCTCCTCTCCGGCTACATCATGACCGCCGCGATCTCCGCGATCGAAGCGTTCCACTACTTCCATGTCCCCCACCACCTCGTCCTCCCCCTCGCAGTCACCGCGATCGTCCTTGTCGGCGGCGTGAACTGGCTCGGCGCAGAGAGTGCCGGTAAGTTCGCGCTCATCATCGCACTTGTTGCACTCGGCGTCTCAGCAGTCATGGCGCTCATCGCGATCCCCGCATTCGCGCGTGGGATCGAGACCATCTCCTTCGACTACATCAGACACAGCCCACCCCAAGACGTCTGGGTCAACTTCACCAAGATCTGTCTCGCCCTCGCCGGAGTCGAAGCCGTCGCCAACATGACCGGCATGATGAAAAAACCGGTCGAGCAAGAAGCCAAAAAAACCATCTGGCCCGTCTCCATCGAGGTCGTCGGACTCAACCTCGTCTTCGGACTCGCCCTCGCCGGACTCACCTTCACTGTCGCTGGGACACAGCTCCAAGACATCCACATCCCCGACGACCAGCGCCTGACCGAAACACGCCAACAGTTCGTCGAAACCCTCCCCGCTGAGACTCACGACCAGTACGACACCTCGCGTCCAATCATCCTCACGGACGAGCAGGTCGAATCTCTCTCACCAAACTCCCGTGACGCATACGAAGATCTCGCCGCCCATCGCGGACAAGTCGGGAACTACACCAACGCCGCGATGCGTGTGATCGCAGAAAACACCGCAAACGATGTCATCGGACCGCGTTTCGGAACTATCTTCGGAAACATCGCAGGCATCACCTTCGGACTCCTGCTCCTGAGCGCCACCAACACCGCGATCATGGCCATGGTCTCCGTCTTCTATGCGATGGCGCAAGACAGAGAACTCCCCCAGTCCCTCACGCGCCTCAACTACTCAGGTGTGCCGTATATAGGCCTCATCGTCTCAATCATCATCCCCGCCGCCGTGATTCTCGTCGAGCAGGATGTCACTGTCCTCGCATCACTCTATGTGCTCGGAGTCACCGGCGCAATCACCGTCACCGTGCTCTCCAGCGCCATCAACACCAAACTCGAACTCTCCCCCCCTGTCCGCATCGCGATGTGGGCGCTCGGACTCTTCCTCCTCTCCATCACCATCACCATCGGGATCACCCAACCAATCTCCACCGCATTCAGCGGCACCCTCGTCGCCACAGCGCTCGGAATCCGCACAATCCGCTCGCTCAAACCACCATCGACAGGCAAAGCAATCGAAGCACCTGGCGCTGGATGGATGTCGATACTGTCTGATCAGATCGAGATTGACCCAAGCAAACCCAAGATCATGCTCGCCGCGCGCGGACGCTACCAATCCGAGTACGCGATCGACCTCGCCAAACGCCGCGACGCAACCCTGCTCGCAATATTCGTCCGCCAGGTCCGTGTCCTCGATATGGCACCAGACCGGAGCCCTCGCATCGAGACCGACAACGACGCACAAACAACCCTCGGCACCACCGCCATGCTCGCCAAAGAAGCGGGAGTCCCCTTCATCCCCATCTACGTCACCTCGACCAGCATCTCAGAAGAGATCCTCGACTACACCGTCACCTACAGCTGCGACACCCTCATCCTCGGCAAGTCCCGCCGCTCCAACGTGGCGCGCCGTCTCGAAGGTGACGTGATCTCACAAGTCGCCAAGGACCTCCCCGAAGGAATCATCCTCATGACCCGCGCCGCGGACGTCCCCCACGCCATGATGCCACCAGGAATGGGAACCGGTGTGACCAAGTAAAGTTGAGTAACATCAGGCAGATGACCCTCAAAGCAGACATCGAGTCGTGGGACACCAAGTCCAAAGCCGCGATCACCCGCGTCTACGCGAAGCACATGGACCGTCCAGAGTTCATCCAAGAACTCATCGATCTCATCCCGCTCCCCACAACCGAAATCGGCGCCACCTGGATCCTCAAGCACCACCTCGAAGAAGACGCGTCCCCTCTCCCCGATCAACTCGTCCAGCAGATCTACAAGCACTTCCCCAAGCTCACCCACTGGGGGTCCAAGCTCCACATCCTCCAGATCATGGAGCACCTCCCGATCCCATCCAAGCACAGAGCATCGACGATCAAGTTCATCAACGAATGTAAATCCAGCGACAACAAGTTCGTCCGCGCCTGGTCATACAACGGCCAGTACCAACTCGCCCTCAACTTCCCCAACCTCCGCGACCAAGCACGCACTCAAATCCTCCACGCATCCGAGCACGACGAAGCCGCTTCCGTGCGAGCTCGCTGCCGCCAACTGCTCAAGTTGTCCCAGAAACACTGGCAAAAATAATCCCCCCGCCTACCCTATCCAGATGCCTGCTGAGATCCCCATCGACGACATCCCGGACTTCATGCCCGACCCCGACGACGCTCCAGATGCGCCGGGACAAGGCGTACTCGATGGACTCACCGATCCCCAGCGCGACGCCGTCCTCCACACCGAGGGACCACTCCTGATCCTCGCCGCCGCCGGATCAGGAAAGACCCGCGTCATCACACGAAGAATCGCTCACCTCGTCGCCAACAACACCCCGCCCTGGTCGATCCTCGCGCTCACCTTCACCAACAAAGCCGCGGGAGAGATGCGCGAGCGCGTCGCCCTCCAAATCGCAGGCCCAAACGCCCTCGACGAAGACGCCCCGCGCGACCCACGACTCCGCGGACTCACAATCACCACCTTCCACTCCCTCTGCGCCCGCCTCCTCCGCCGCTACGCGGAACGCGCCGAGCTCCCTGGACTCAAACCCGACTACACCATCTACGACAGCGCCGACCAGATGGCCGCGATGAAACGCGTCCTCAAAGCGATGAACCTCCAAGCCAGCAACTGGCCGCCCCGCTCCGTCCTCTCCACCATCTCCAACGCCAAGAACGAGATGATGGACGCCAAGAAATACGAAGCCAACGCGTTCGACTACTACTCCAAGCAAGTCGCCAAGATCTACCTCGCCTACGAGCAAGCCCTCCGCGGCGCTGGCGCGATCGACTTCGACGACCTCCTCCTCTACACCGCCAAGATGCTCGAGACCCACGAGGACATCAAGCAGGAACTCAACAGCCGCTGGCGCTACCTCCTCATCGACGAATACCAGGACACCAACTCCGTCCAGTTCAAGATCGCCTCGCTCCTCGCGTCTGCGCCCCCGCCACTCCCAGGGATGGAAGACGAACCCGATCAACCCAATATCTGCGTCGTCGGAGACCCCGACCAAGCGATCTACGGCTGGCGCGGCGCCGACATCACCAACATCCTCGACTTCGAAGAAAACTTTCCAGGCGCCAAGGTCATCATGCTCGGAGAAAACTTCCGATCAACCAACCCCATCCTCAAAGCCGCCGACACACTCATCAAGCACAACACTAAACGCAAAGACAAACCCCTCTTCACCTCCAAACCCGGAGGCGAGCCCATCACCGTCGTCACCACCAACGACGAACGACACGAAGCCGAACTCGTCGCCGACTGGTTCCGCCAGCTCAACGAAGACCACAACATCGCCTGGAAAGACATGGCGGTCTTCTACCGCACCAACGCCCTCTCCCGTGTGCTCGAAGACGCGATGCGCCAATCCTCCATTCCCTACAAAATCGCCCGCGGCACCGCGTTCTTCGAGCGCGAAGAAATCAAAAACGCGATCGCCTACCTCCGCGTCGTCGCCAACCCCTCCGACCCCGTCTCGCTCCTGCGTGTCGTCAACACCCCGACCCGAGGCATCGGAAAGACCACCCTCGACACGATCCAGGGCGCATGCGCCCGAGCCGGGATCTCGCTCTGGGAAGGACTCAACCGCGCCCAAGAACTCGGACTCAACGACCGCGCCCTCAACGCGATCAAAAAATTCACCGAGATGGTTAACGAATGGACCGGAGAAGGCTCATTCATGGGCGCGTCCGTCTCCACCTCCCTCGCCGACCTCGTCGAGCGTATCATCACCGAGTCCACCCTCGAAGCCCACTATACCAAACAAGCCAAAGCCTCCGGCGCTGAGTCCGACGAGGAACGCCTCGACAACCTCAACGAACTGATCACCTCCGCGCGTGACTTCGAGCGTGAGTACGACCCCGCCGACGACCCCGCGTCCTTCACCGACACCGAGCAAGCGCAAGCCGGGAACGTCGGGACCGTCCCACCGCTGCTCGCCCTCGTACGCGCGTATCTCGAATCCATCGCCCTCATCGCCGACGCCGATGCCGTGGACAACGAATCCGGCGCGGTCACCCTCATGACCCTCCACGCGAGCAAGGGCCTCGAGTTCCCCGCCGTCGCGATGATCGCCCTCGAAGAAGGCACCCTCCCCCACTCCCGCGCCGCCGAATCCATCGCCGAGCTCGAAGAAGAACGCCGCCTCGCCTTCGTCGGGATCACACGCTCGATGAAACACCTCCACATCACGAGC